GACAAAATAAGACAAAAAAAGTGAAGTATTAAAAATAAGTTGCACAAATGTCAGTATGTTTGACCGACACTCAAAACTCCAACATTCAAAAGTACGAAAGTCACACTACATCAGTCACTTTTGGCCAAATCAGCTGATCAGTGCATTGCAGGTGGTGGAAAATGTATGTCCCTCACCTGCAAAATGTGCAAAAATAGCGTTCCCTCTGACTGCAAAGTTGAGAAAATGTTCCATATCGAGTACACACTTACACACCAACGTGTGTGAGGTTAGAGTTTCTTCGAATTAGCTGAATAATGTGGCACAGCTGACCCCCTCTGCAGCTGTTGATTACCTCGCCTCTAGTTCTGGTTCACTGGCTGGTTTCTCAATAAAGGGGCTGAGCTGACTTGCTCCCCCAGTGGGTCATAAACTTACAAGGTACCTCCACAACCCCTTTTAAAAACATGAACTCTCCCTTTAAGAAGCAGGAACTTATTACGGAGCGTAGATGGCTAAAAGTGTTTCTAAATTAATCATTTTTAAACCTTTTGACCACTAACCGATTTCAAACACCACCATGAATGCTTTTATTTGCAGATGGCGGTACTTAAACCAAGTATTTCTTCTCAGCTTGTATGGTGTTTACGCAGAAAAGCTGGAAAAAGGGGTGATTTTTTCAGGCCTGGTGGTCTAAGCATGTGTCTCATGTACAAAGGTTATAATCCTGCAACCTTTCCTGCATGTCGCTCCCACATGATGGAAAATTAAAAATCAAGCATTACAAATAAGAAAAATAAAAGTTATCTGTTGTTTATTTCAATGACTAACTTGGTGATTCAGTGATACGGTCAAATCATTTTCAGCATTAGTTTCTGTTTCAGTTTGATTGCCTCACAGCACTTTGGAGTTGTTTTCTGGTGTGTATATCACGCCAATCGTACTTGACTTTTTCTTGGCAAGCTATATTTATAGATTAATCATTAAAACTAAACAGTCTTTCTTCTTCAGTAATCTGTATTAGACGCATGTGGTCCTCAATCTCTGGAAGCATAGAGAGAAAGATAAGACTCAGGACAGGGTGATGGCTGATCGAACCTCTAGTTAGGACAGATGTTTAGTCTAACAGCACCCTCTTCTGGTTGCAAAGAGGTACAGCAAGTAGAAAAGTGTCAACTCTCTAACTCTGATGTCCAAGCAGAGTGAATCCTGGGGGTCAAACTGAAAAACAGAAAATCACAGATTAGACCTGGATGGAAAAGTCTAAAAACAGAAAATAATCAACACACGAGTCAAGAGGGAGGGGGGGTCTTCTGTACAGTTTTTGTCTCCTGTTTTATTTGGATGAATGAAACACTTTCAGTTACAAAAATGACTTAAAATGAACAACACTGTACAATGAACAAGTAGAGTTATTTTTCCTTTTTTTTTTTCTTTTTTTTTGGTTTTCAAGATAAATACACTAAAAGGCTAAATGCTACCACAAGGGAGGAGGAGAGAGGGAGGGAGGAAGGGAGGGAGGGGGGAGGCTGTTGGGGGGGTAGCTCACATGGTGGAAGACACAAAGGGGAGGGGTGATGGCAACACACACACACACTCACAATCACACACGCACTCTCACACACACATTATAAGGAAATAGGCTTTGAGTGGTGACAAGAGGAATTAAAGCTACATGTAGCAGGAAGTTGGCAAACGGTACGTTACAGTTGACACTCGGGGGCTCGCTGTTGACCGAAGAACAAGGAACCTTTTTGTCTTTTTTTTTTTGCAGCCAGTCACACCCACAGCCACACCCACAGTCACACCCACTCCACCCTGCGGTCACGCACAGGTGGAACTGTAAGAGATAGAGATCGAAGCCCCGCCTTCTTCTCTTAAAACAACATAAAGACACTTCCAGAGAAATTAAAAAAAAAAAAACACAAAATGGTTTAATGTTTGACAGCTCACTCTTTCACACACACACACACACTCGCACGGGAGAAGACAAACACCCAGGGTCAAAGGTCAGACAGGTAGATGTCAGGAACAAACATCAGGTAAACAAAATGAAAATGGGGAGAGGAAGGGAGGAGAGGGGGGATGATGGGAGTAAAGCGGTACTCTCTGGCAGCACGAGCAGAAAGGACGAGAACTTAAGAAGGATCAGAACAGCTACAAAGATACCAAGAGAAACTTCATTATCATCATCATCATCGTCATCATCATCATCGTCGTCATCGTCATCATCATAATTATGAGAAGCTTAAGATTATTTTTCCAATGACAAATACTTAAAAATATACATTTCATCATCATCATCTTAATTATCATCATTATTATTGTTATTCCCCTTTGGATAGCTGAGGTTAGCGCTTCACAGACTGGCTCGCTAAGTGACGAAGAGGAGAGGAAGAGCAGAAAGAGAGGATGGGTGGATAGAAAGAGAGAGAGAGAGAGAGAGAGGATGTGGTGGAGGCTGTGTGTTGAGGAGAAGGTCAAGTTAGAGCTCTTTGGTTTTATTCTTTAACATCTGACTCGCTTTGCTGTGTTGTTGGAGAAACCTTTGGACTAAAGCTGTATTGTACAAGAAAGAGAAAGACAGAGACAGAAAGAGAGGGATGAGAGGGAAGAGAGGAAGAAGAAGAAGAGCGTGACTGTGTGGATGAGAGTGGGTGGAGGAATAAGAAGCAGCTTGTTTGCTGTTGTTGTCGTTGCTCTGCTCGCCGTCTCTCTCTGGACGACAACAATCACATTTCTCATGCAGTCATGTTCAGACTGTTTTTCTCACACTGACATGTGTCCCGTCGTTTTCATGAAGTGCTCCTTTTATTATTAGGAATGAGCTGAACATTTCAAGAGACTAGATGATCAGATCGATACCACTTTCATTTCTTTCGGATTCAATTCAAGCTGCATTAGGTGACAGTTAGCCTAGTTTAGCATAAAACCTGCAAACATCCACGAGGTAGAAATTATGACTCACTTCACTTTGACTGATTCAAACTATCCCATGCACTTGAACTCAGTTCTGTTTTCAATCTTTCCACGGCAAATGAATGCACCGCATGTGCGGCAGCAGCTTCCACACAACAAAATATACTCCTAGTGAGTTTAAATGAGTTTAAATTTGACGGGTTACGATGTTGTGACAGTGCAGAACAAATTAAACTTGTTAATTTAACTCCTAGTTTCTGTAAGTAAAAGTGAGCACAGTTATCAAACTGTTTTCATTTATGTGTCCATCACTTAATTTTTCAATCAGGTAATGATTATAGACCAACACTGGCTCGGTGACACCATTCAGTAGTTTCTAAAACAGTGTTTTGAAACCAAACAAAGACAGTCACCATGTTGGAAATGGTGACGAAATCTCACTTTTAGTCATCTTGGTGGAGTCGTGTAGGCATTGAGCCCCATCGAACCAGCCTTTTAGGTTATGCAAATATAAGCCTAAAAATATAAAATTCTTAAAATTGATAGTAATAAAAAATCTCAATGCTTAACAGCCTGACGGGATAAAGTCATGACATGTTCAGACCAAGGCTGGATTAGGGTGCAGGGGTGTGCCCGGACTTTTTGACAGAGGTGGCCCAACTAGGGCACTGACTCATGCAGGGGTGGCCTAAGGTCACACACACACTTGAATCAACATTATTTATGACACATTTCCTGCCTTCACCAATTGTTTGCATATTGTAAATGTGTTGGAGTTTCTCTCCAACAAGGCTGACAGCCAATCACAGGTCAGGATTTTTAAAGTTGGATTTAAGGTTATTTCAAAGTCCGTTCAACTCTAAATGTTTTTCACGTTCTATAAAATAAGCGTTTCAACACTGGGTGTTTATGGGGCTCTCAAGCTTTTGGAGCCCGCCTCAAGTGGACACTCGAGGAAATGCAGATTTTTACACTTCTGCACTTGTTAACACAGGAGGTTGCCACTTGAAATTTATGTAAATTAGGCTGAGCAGAACCGAGTCCTCTCAGGCACGAATGAGCAGATTTCAACAGATATTTATTCAGGATACTAATGAAACAAAATCTGACTACCAGCACTTGCCAGGCTGCAGTTTTTGCGTGTATTCTTTCTAAGCAGCCGTGTTCATTGGAGGGTTTTTATAACTTTGTGTACTACAGCCTTTTATGGTACTACAAGTTAAACATTTATGCTTCAAGAAGGAAAACATCAAACTATCTGAACTGATTGTAAAGCAACGTGGACCAGCTTGATTTTTAATGTGACCTGACTGTTTCTCTTTCGTTTGAGGCTGTAGATTCATATTTTCCTCAAAAACACAAGAGCTTCTCCATCTTCTCATTTAACTCTTGATAAAAAGATGAAGAACTGTTTGTCCAAAAGCTAAGCTGGAGTAACAGAGGTCCATAAAGCTTTTTTGTTGTTGTAAAGTTTGTGTCATTTTAAGAGAAAATGTGATTTTGTCGAGAGAGAGAGAGTTTCCAAACATTCAGATGGACATCAGGATTAAAGGGAAGTGTGTCTGTCATGCTGGATCTCGTGGCGGGGCATTAACTTTGGTATCATTCACGTAGGGGGTATCCCCACCACAGAGGTCTGCACTCTACACTCAGTCCCTTCAACCCTGACGTTCATTGAGAAATGCCTCGTCAGAAACAAAGCAGCAAAGCACAACAAGGAGATGAACTCACACACACACTTCTTCCTCCAACTTTCCGGAGTCTCAGCTCGCACACAGTCGTGAGAAGTGTTTGTTTGCGTCACCTAGCAACCCCGGTCTCAGCCGTTCCCTGGATACCTGCCCTACAGCACTCCCTGATACACTCGGACATCAAGTGGTCAATTTGCCCCCACATCAGGCAAAGGAGACCTAAAGGCGAGAGAGGGCTCAGCGACCTTGGTGATAAAATTGCTCTCAGACACGCGACTTTTTTAAGCCGGGAATAGATCCAGATCTGATCCTAGATCAGTGCCAAAGAGCAGCTTTAAACCCACAGTCCAGAGAGTTTGACAGGGAGGGAGCAGTGAGGGTCAGATCTGAGGAGAGGGCTGTGTTCAAAGCTCAACACAGACAGCGGGGGGTATTTTCCAGGGGGACGGGGTGTGTGAGCGTGTGTGTGAGTGTGTGCAGACCGGAGCATGAACCAGTGCAGGCCTTTGACCCTAAATGCATCCCTCTGCAATCTAAACTGTGATCTAGTTTTTTGCAGATCAATCCCAAACTCTTGTTTATCTCTATTAGGACAGCAACCTCTGACCTTTGACCCAGCCTCACTGTGTCATCTCCAGGCTGCACAAACACGACGTCCACACACGCTCCAACACATCCCTGATCGCCACTGTGACCCCGCATTTTAAAGCATTCATCTATTTGGTTTATCATCAAAGAATATGAGGTATATGATGAACTATCTCTCTTTTATATCCTACAGCGGATGAAGAAAAGAGTTTAAAGCAACTCAGAGAAAAGTGGAAACAAAAGACACAAAAGAGGAGAGTGAGACAAAGAGTGAAGTAGGGAAGTGATTTCAGGCTGGAAGTCAGAAATCACCCTCTTCCTCCCTCTTTTTCCCCTCTGTCACGTAAAAAACTGAAGTCTTAGCCCCGGCTGATCTTCTTCTTCTTCTGTTTTTGGTTGTGTAGCTGTAAAGCTTTCAGTGAGTTCTCCCAGTGGAGAAATTAGAGAAAACAGAAGCAGCACTGTGTCGTAAAACGCCACATGAACTATACTCATGATTTCATTATACGGAATAACAGTTTTAACTATTTCTCCCGTTATAACGAGAAACGAAGGCATGTTTCAGTCTAGACAGCCTTTTCTGCTCTCCTGTAAAAAAAATGTGTTTGTCCACACAGTGCTGCCTCCTGCTGCTGTGAGAAACATCATCTCAGTTAGGAAGAGAAGCTCTTCATGGCCGACAATCAGATCAGCCATATTCTCTTAGGAGGTCCCTACAGGAACCCTGGTTGCATTTCTGTTATTATTTGGTTCAAAGAAGTAAAAAAAAGAATTTCAGCGGGGGGCGAAATAGAAAAAAAAATCATAAAAAGTACATCCCAGAATATGAAAAAGCACCTCTAGAAATAAATTAACAAATAAATAGCAAGACACGCAAATAACTCAAACCTACCCTGAATAAATAGTACAATCAAAAGTCTAAACCATCATAATAAAGAGAAATAAAAAAGTCCAAAGAGAGATAGTTTAAATTTTTGGTCTAAAATCAAGTTATTATCATCAATGTTTTTTAGGATCTTTTTTTCTCAAAGTCTTTTTTGTACGTTTTTTTCTTTTTAATACATTAGCGATAAGTAAGCAGTAGAACATAGATTTTTTTTTTCTACAAAATCTATAGAAGCACTAACAGATACATTCCGTCTAAGAGTCAACGTGGAGGAGAGGTTTCACCTTCATGGTTCAAACCCTCACCCCCCACATCTATAGTTTGGTTCGTGAAACGATTCTCGCTTGTGTGTGTCGACTGTTTTTTTTTTTTTTGGTGTGGATCAAACCAAATATTCTTTGGATATGTTTACGTCCAACTCTCGAGCTGTCGGCTCTGCCTGAGGCCTGTGCTGAGTGTTTCCATCTGTGGCTGGAGTGTTTTGGTAAAATTGAGAAATCACAGCAGACTCTTCTTTTTCATTCATTTTTAACTATTTGGTGTCACTGTAACACTCGCACAGAGATAAACACACACATTCAGCTCAGGCAAAGCGACTCTAACCCATGTCTGTGCCCTAACAGAGAAGGCAGTCTCCCCTGATTTTGGTTTGGTTCGGTATTTGGTTTGGCATTGTTAAGGTTTGCTATTCAACTCTTGTTTTTTTGGCTTTGTGTGGGTTTATTTTTACTCTGCCAAGACAGTCTGTTTCTTTATCTAATAAAAATCTGGAAGCTAAATTTTCACAGTATTTTTTTCCCAACCACCTGATAAAAATCTCTAGCACGACTACGAAAAAAATAAGGAGCTCTTGTAAGTAAGTAGGTAAGCGAGTACGTTATTCCAAATGAGTTAATAAGCACTAAAGTACAGTACATAAAACGGCATCAAGAGACAGAGCAGAGATCAAAACAATCAGAACCAACCAACAGAAAAATAAAAACAGATTTTTTTTCTTAAAGAAGATTTCAGTTCAGTGAGGTCATTTGCGTTTAGCTCCATCCAGGACCAGAGAGAGAGCTGAGCTGGAGAGAGAGAGGCAGGGGAGGGGAGGAATCGTCTGTCCTTTTGTCTGCTCACCTGTCTATCTGCCTGTCTATCCATCCATGCTACACAGTTTCAGAGTGGGGTGAATGCTCGCAGACAGACAGATAGACGGACAGACGGACGGACAGACAGAGAGGGATACATTTTGTCCTCCTCCCCCCCTCCCTCCAGCCACATTTGGTTAAGGGTTCTTTTTGGTTTGCTTCGGTCGTTCCTTGGGTTTTTGGTTTGCGTTTATTTTTGGTATCCTCTTAGAAAAAAAGTGTGACGCCTGCTCCCCTCACTACAGTGTGTCCCTCCAAGGGTACCCTCATTCTGGGGGTTTGGAGTAAAGGAACAGTTCCCTAAATAAAGCTTCCCCCTGTGGGTATTTGGACGGACCAGGTGGAGGGGATTACATCCGAGGGAGGGGGCTCCCAGTGGTAAAGTCCTGTTCTCACCCCCCCTCCTGTGTCTTTATTGTGTTCATACGTCTTGGCTGAGGCTCTATGAGAAGAGCTCCGGCCAGCCTTGAGAATGCTTTGGTTTCCATTTGAGAATTAATGGCAGTCTGAGGTGGAAAATGGCAGTGAAATGTAATTGATGGGGTGATGATGGAAACAGACAAATATCGGTAAACATGTCTAGACAGACAGGTGTCGGCAGGCGCGAGAGCCGGCTGTGACTAAACTTGGCTTTATTGACTTATTTAACCTCCAGCTTCATCGGGTATTACCTTCAATCTCCAATCACAGCCCTATTTCATACTTCCAATATGGTCGCCCACTCTTAACAAACATTGTTTAGTGTGTAAAGTTTCCCAGGGCGTGTTTATTTAGCCACAGAGTCAGCGATAACGACTTATCTCCAAGAGTGAGGACAGATTGGTCTGATTAAGAGCACACAGTGTCACATTTGAACGTCTTAATAATTTCATTCACACCTTGAAATGGACTCGCAGTGTGCCAGCTCTATTTTGGATCTATGGCACTTGGTGAGACGAGCATCTTTGCACTTTCGTCATCTCTGTTCCTGCAGAAAAGTCACATTGAGAAACAGAACGACTGCACGATGATAATATGAATGTATAATGATGAGGACAGTGATGATGATGATGATGATGACGCTGATGATGATTCAAACACTACAAAAGCTGCAACAATAAATAGAAGCTGTATTGTAAAATGATCCTAATAAATAGTAAAAAAAAAATCAAAACTGTTCTTCTCTGAGTGTAAAAAAACAGATACTGGTTTACAAGCCTCTGTCAAGGTACTCTGCAATGAAAAAAGGACAGATTAAAGCTAATCTATGCTCTTCGAACCAGAGGTAGGTAAAGAGACTAATACATGAAGATACTGGCATCATTCATTTGATGAGTGTTTCACTTCATCAGCGACAACTTTTTACAAAAAATATCTAAAATGGAAACTTAGAGGAGACACATGAGCAGACGCAGACAGGATGAGTGAACAGCAGAATGGATGGATCGACTTTCGATGAGTGGAAATGGATATGTGTGTGTTTGTGTGTGTGTGTGTGTGTGTGTGTGTGTAGCAGTAGAAGAAGGGTCCTGGTCCTGGATAGCTTCAGTATTTACACGTCCTTTGAATAAAGCTTTTCTCTCCGTATTTTTGGTTTTTGGTATTTGGGATTTTGGTATGGTTGTCGTTTTTTTTTTTTTGTGTATTCCTCCTCCGCCTCCTCCTCAGGTAAATTTTTGGTTTAAACTCATCCTCTCTTCTCCTCTTCCTTCAGACCCGCAGCTTTTCGAAATGATAAAAAAGGGAAAACTTAAGCACAGTCCTCCAGTTTTTGTCCTTGCCGCCATTCCTTTGTCACATAGTAAAGTTATCTTTTGTCATTTTTGGTTTATGCACTCCGACATGCGCCTCTTCTGCCTCTTGGTTTAAGAGTCATTGGTTTGTTTTCCTTCAGAGAGAAAGAGCGGAGAGGCGCCACGTCGATATCACCTGTTACTGACTACAAGGTCCCACGCTGCTTCCTCTCCATTTGTTTGGATAGATAAAGATTTTTGGTTTCAGTCTTCCCCTTTCCCCCCTTCTCCCCTCTTTCACTTCCCTCCCTCTCCCTCTCCTCTTTCATTCTGTGTATTTTTGGCATCGAAAGACTGGGAGAGAAAGAGAGAGAGAGCCTTTGCGAAAAGATGACGGAAGAAGAGCTCAAGAGAGAGAAAGAGATAACTTTGGTGTGAAAGGCGAGGTTCTTGTTTCCTCCTTCCTCCCCCTCTCTGATTGGCCCTTGGCGTGGTCACTCAATCTTGGCTCCGCCCAGAGAGGGCGGGCTATGTGCCATTTCGCTGGAGGAGCAGGAAGAGGCGGGGCTTGAACAGGGAGACGGGGAGCAGGGGGTGGGGCTGATGCTGCTGGCGGACGGGAAAGGGGAGGGCTGAGAGGCTTTGGCTACAGCGGCGCTGAGGAGTCCAGCACCGGGGTTCTGACCCATGTGGAGGAGGGCTGGGTGGTTGAGGAAGAGGGAGGAGGGGAGGCCTGTTTGGCCCCCTGAGGCCCCCAGCATCACTTTGCTGGCCCCCTCAAGACTGGAAAGAGGCAGCTGGCCACCACTGGCTGCTAGGGCTGAGGAGACAAGAAAACACAGGAAAACTTAATAAGTATTTCACGATTACAGTATTACAAGTATTACGGTATTTCAGAATCCTTACACACATCTGTCACACATGTATGTGTTTTGTTTGACCTGTTTTTTCTTCTGAGTAGATGTGTCACGTGAAATTATCTTCCCTATTCCTCTAAAAAATGTTAAAAAAGCAAAGCCATTGGTGCAATTTTTTGTCACGCTGCTCATGAGTTTTTAATATTTTATCATTAAAACCTGATTTACTATAATTTTTTTTCATTTATTCCATTTTTGTTTATTTCTGTTATGTTTTTATATTAATCCCAGCTATCTGAAATCACTGTCTGTAGGAAACAAGGTCAAAACTATTCTTAGAGCGTGGCAAACAACAGCAGAGCTAGCACCGCTAGCCTTTTGCCGCGGCCCCCTCCTCTTACAAATTACAGTCCAAATACCTGTCCTGGTGTGTTTATGTACCACTTTTAACCAGCACAACCTTAATCCTTTTATACCTTTTGTATCATATTTAGGACATACTTTTAAAGACTTCTATCAAATTCCCACCTTTATAGGTAGCCATGTTCCTTCTGGCAGGGGGACTACCAATGGAAACTAGCCTTGTGGCTACAATTGGGTCCATTTACATTTTATCTTTTTAAAATGTTCATTAGTGCACACTGTCCCTCTTTAAAAAATAAAAAGGAAATAAAAAAATAAAAAAATAAATCAATACGATCAACTATTTATTTAAAATACACATGAATACAGTCTGATAAATGATAAAAATGTCCTCTTGTGGTTTATCAGTTTCCAAAAACATCTAATGCATCAAACGAGATAAATAAATATATTTGTTAAATTTTAAGGACATTTAGATTTTTGGGGTTTTCAGTAGTAAGTGAAATAAAAATTTCAGCTCCAAAAAAATCTGAATTTTATGGCCATAATTTGTGGTGTCAGATATTAAAGGGCTACAACATCTTTTTTGTGTGTTTTTTCGATCACCACAGGGAAAAAATATGAAGAATTTATTGACCTCAAAGTGAAGTGATTCCCAGGTGATTAGGGTGATTGCATTTAACCGTTTAGCTGACGTAACACGCTCTTGTTTAGATACAGCAGTGCAACAGGTAAGCGAGCAAGAGTGGTCTGTTGTTATGGAAACAAGGTTGATTGGCTGTGAATGGCCTTTGTGCACTTTATATTTTTGACTGCATAGTAACAGCTAAAAAATGTTCCATTCGAGTTTTCTTTTTCAGCGGATAAAGAGCACTGAGCAGGCTACTTCTGCTGAGGAAACTGACATTTTTGCCTCCTGAGAGATTCGTCTCTCAGTGTTGAGTGTTGAGCTTCAATAATAGTGTGAAATGGTGACAACAAAAGGCGACTGATTCTGATTCTGAGGCAGAAAACGACATTTGAAGTTGATTATTTCTGCGTCATGAATATTAGGCATGCATATATTTACACAAAATTAACAGCTTCTGAAAATGAAGTGTTAGAAAAAAAATCTCCAAAAGGTTAAAACACTGGCTGGTATTACTAACAAAACTTGAATGATGACAAAATAGAAAGACGAAAGGCTCAAGATGAGTTAGATGACACACACGCACATGCAAAAATGTAGCCCACGCATAACGTAGCCATGATCACACACACACACACACACACATACACATGCATGATGGGATGGATGAATGAATGTCAGTGGCGACATGTGAGAAATAAGTCATTCCTCTTGTCTTTCAGCTGCTTCACGCTGTGGATGAGCAATAACACTCCACTGCCTGATCACCCGTATCTCCAACCTGCAGTCTCCCAGTGCAATTTGATTCACCTACCATGCATGACTGTATTACTCATCATCGCACTTCTCTTTTTAATGCGTCTCTCTCTGTGCCTCCTCATCCTCAGGTTTCAGAGTATGATGAAGAATTAGCTCTGCTGACGGTGTTTGGGACTGTGTGTTGGTCATTTCTGCAGGATTTTGGCGCTATTTCTGTGTTGTGTGAAAGCGTCAGGGTGTGTATGAGAGGTAAGTGTCGTGTACAGTGTATTGCTAGGAATTTCGAGGACAGTAGGGTTGATAGAAATCTCTAATTTAAAAGAGAAAATGTTTGTTTTGTGACCTGAATAAGCTGTTTTATTTCCCGAAAACTTAAATCGCGACGCCACCCTTCACCTCTGCTATGACCTCCAGAATTATACTCTGCTTATCTGTGATGCTGATGCCAAATGTTGTGTCTCTTTTTACCCTCTGCAGAAATAAACCCATTTCAGCGTGTCTCTTTCTTTCACACACACACACACACCTTGGATAGTAGCCAGGGGATTGTTACCGAGGAGGGCTTGGTTCATCCCTGTGTTAACTCCCATCACAGTGTTCCTGTTGTGTCACACACAAACACAAACACACACACACAGCAACATACATGTGTGAGCATATACGCAGACACAGACAGGCAGAGGAGAAAAGGTGAGAGAGAAAAAGCAGGTTTAGCAGCAAGGACGAGCAGAGGGTAAATCCAGCCCCGTGCATGAACAGAGAGGTAGTTAGCTGAGAGTTTGCTGTACTGGTTAAAACGAGAGGTTAGACATGTGGAAAAACATGGAGAATATCAAACATTTGTTATAAAACACAAAAACTTTCATACCAGACAGTATCATTCTGCTTTGACAAAGACTGTAATGTACTCTGTGAGTGTGTGTGTGTATGTGAGCGTCTCGGTTGTATTCACCTCAAGTTTGCAGCAAAATCGGTGATGTAGTTAGACACGTCACCGTTCTTTTTACCCATACGCCATAAGCTGTGAACACAAGAACCACACACATACAGACACACACAGGGTTAAAAAGCACTGCCGCAAAAAGAAGAGCAGTGTCCCCGATTAGCTTGTCGAGATATCAGTGTGTGAGTGTAAAAACAGTTACAGTGTGTGTGTGAGTTTAACTACAAACTGCAGGTGAACAGAGCAGAGTAATGTGTTGTTTTCTTAGTACTATTTGTGTGTTTTTGTTATCTTTGTTTAAAAGTGTTGCCTAAATTCAATCACTTGTGACGGCTTACACAGATAGAAAAAGGTTAAAAAAACAAACAGCTTCAGCACTTAAAGGGCCAGTTCACCCAGTTACATAGTAGGTATAAAGAAGCAAACAGAGATACAAAGCACAAAAAAAAAATCCACATTCATATTTTCAACCATGAGCAAATGAAAGTGAGAAAGTGATACAGTAAGAGAGCTCGAGTTTAGTGAACAACGCGGCGCAGCTGAAGAATGAGAAGTTATTTTCCGATTGCTTCACAGCAGTTGTTCTCTAATGTGCTGGATTTGGCGAGCAGCTGAAGTTGCGCCTCTTCCTGCCTGATGCATGTCCCCGCTATATGCCCATGCACCGTCACAACCACTTCTGCTAACTCCCCTCACTCACAGGCCGGCAAATGCTTATGTTTGATAAGTCCTCAAGCATCTATTAAAAAACATGTTAGGTTCACGTCTGTTCACATCAGAGGACCGAGGCGGCAGTATCACCTGGCCTCTGTGAGATAGATAACACACCACATATATCCTCTGGGTTAAGAATGATGATTCAGGGGGGATATTTTATTTAACTAACTTTGTTTTTCTAAACAAAGATGAATTTGAAATTCAAATTTAAACCACATCTCAAACTGGATTCAGTTCATCCCAACACTAATGGAGTTGAGGTAGAAAACCAAGAGCAAAGCTTGGATGAATTGTTCCACTGTGTAGTGAAGCTGTGGTGTTTTTTTTTGATCAGCCAACTCAACTGCAGGCAGACAACCATGCTGTCACAGAGAGGGGAAATAATTGTTTAAACGTTTGGATAATGAGAAATATTTTCAGACTGCCTTGCCTGGAAAACTTTCATAGTTCTGTCTTGGCTGGTTCATGTGAAAATTTGCAGATAAGTTGTGTTAATGACGAAAAACTGGGTCAGAGATAAATGCAAGAAAGAAATGGGCTTGCATGTACAATTCTCAGTGAATCAAATTTAGACATTAAACTTTTACATACTGTTATTTCAAGGTAAAATATCTTTGACCCTGATAATCCTTTTTGTCTGCGATGGTTGACACAGTCTCTCTGTCTCTGATCTGCTGATAAAGGTAGTAACAAAGACGAAACTGGAGTAGATGGTGGCAGTGTGAACTGCTGGAGCCAGCAGGGTGGAACAATGCTGTGTGTGTGTGTGTGTGTGTATGTGTGTGTGTGTGGAAGTTCCACCGAGTGTTACCATGCTGTGCCTCTCATGACTTTGCAATGCCATAATGCAAATCAAAATCACACAGTGGAAGATAAATGTTGTGTAACTGTGGAGGTCAGTGTGTAAATACAACACCAGGTCTTTGTTGCAGAACTGTTGTGAGGTTACTATGGCTACGTTTACACTGCAGGTTATGATGCACAATTCGGAATTTTTGTTAAATCCGATCTTTTTGTGCATTTGTTCAAATTACAACAATGAGTGCAGCATCTAATGTGAATGGAATGCGTCTGTGAAGTGACCCACATGCGCACAAAGCACAGATTGCTGTCCGCGCCTGTTTGTGTTGTCGAACAATGGTGAAGTTTGTCTGTTCACACTTGCATGAAAAAATCTGATATGTGTCACATATGGTTAAAAAATCTGAATTGACCTGCAGTGTGAACATAGCCCATGTGTACTTGTGTAAAAACAGACAATATCTTTAACACTGGCCAACTCCAATTTAAAAATTTTATACTAAAATATTATTCTTTAGATAACTGGGTGAAGCAAGTTTTGACCTGACCACACCAGCTGTGAATCGCAGGATTTGGGATTCCCAGGTTATGTGTTGTAAAATGTTGTGGTCTCTCACCCCGTGTTCAGGCTGAGTGTGCTGTGGCTGGGAGTGGCTGGGCTCGCTGTGCTGCGGGGAGGAGGAGTCACTGGAGAGGGAACGGAGCTGAGGGAAGGGTGGGTTGAGGTGAGGCTGGAGGTCAGGGGGCAGACGGGGGACATGGTGGTCACCGTTGTGCTGCTGAGACTGGTCACGGCTTGTGACAGCTGGCTGGACATCTGGCGTGAAGACAGAGACTTAATCAGGGTTCCTTCAGTTCAGGCCGCTCAACAACAATTTGACATCAACAGAGCTGTGGATAAAGTTCGGATATTTACCATGTGAGGGCTGTAGCAGGGCGGTTTGTGCGTCGGTGGGGCAGTGGGAGCCTGGCTGGGCAGGGGAGGGGTGGCACTAGAGGGATTGATGCGTTTCTCTTTCTGCCGGCGGTTGCAGAACCAGACCCGGATCACCTCCTTCTCCATGTTGAGCTGCTCTGCGATCAGCAGGATTTCCTCTGAGGTAGGCTTCTGGTTCTGCAGGAAAAACACAGAGATGGAGCAGCATTTACAATTCAGTTGTCAGTAAATAATAAAAGATTAGCTGTACAAGTAAAAATCAAGGTTTTTCCATCAAGGTTTTCCCTCGTACCGTCATGAATGCGCGTTCCAGGGCCACACGTACATTCGTCTCGATGCTGGTTCTTTTCTTCCTGCGGCGACCAGGAATCCCGTCAAAGCCTAGAGAGGGAGAGGACAAGGAGCTGGGGCTGGGCAGGGTGCTGTCTATGGACATGGTCTCTGATGAAGGAGGAACAAAAAAGAAGAAAAAGAATTCATGTTGAATGTTTTATAAACTCTTCAAAATCATGTTGAAGGTTGTGTTATTCAGATACTAGATGATGTTATGTGATGAAATCGATGGTAGCCTGATGTGTAGGTTGTTTTGGTAGTTTTGTGTTCTCTCTCTTATTTCTCTTTTGGTTGTGGTTTCATATAAACCACTTAAAGGTTTCCACCGTACTTGCAAATATGACTTTTTTATTTTCTATATGCGCTTTGTGTCACTGTACTTTTGTATGAAATAAAACACCAAGAGAAACTTTATTGAAATTCAAGGTCTCATTTCATCATGAGAGCTTACCTGCATCATTGAGCCACTTTTCCAGCAGTGGCTTCAGCTTGCACATGTTCTTAAAGCTCAGGTTTAGGGCTTCAAAGCGGGAGATTGTGGTCTGACTGAAGTCATTGCCGTACAGCTTCCCCATGGCCAAACCGACATCTCCCTGTTCCAGAGAAAAAGAGGAGGAAGTTCAGTTTCCACATAAGTCCAAACACAAAACACACACAGTGCTAATTTAGTCGTCACACACACACACAAACCAAACAATCAACCAGCCCTACCTGAGTGAAGCCCAGTTTGATGCGTCTCTGTTTGAAAGTGCGAGCGAACTGTTCCAGCTCCTCCAGGTCACTGGGCTCCTCAGGGTGGGAGGTCACTGAGGGCACTGTGGTCATACCTCCGCTGCCGCTCACATCCACGCTTTTATCTCGCTGTAGCAGAGACGACGTCAGAGGATTGAAAGTGAGAACGACAGACGGAGACAGGGTTTTCTTTTTCCACTGACTAAAGCGAGAAAGTTTCCTCCTACCTGTGCTTGGAGCCCCATTCTGGACTGAGCAGACAGCAGGCTCCCTTGGTTTTGCTGAGGTAGCGAAATAAGATTTGGTGTCGATAGGAGTCCTTCAAAGAAGAAAAAACATTACAGTTACACTTGCTGTAAAAAAGGATGGATTTAAACTTAAAATCCACAAACTTATCTCAGTCAAAGCTATAACAGATATTTCAGTGAGAGGTCAGCCCACCTTGCTGGCCCTGCTGTGCCTGTGGGAGGAGGAACTGGGCGGGAGATGGGAGCGGGTGACCGGGCACCAGCACCAACTGCTGAAGCTGCAACAGCTGCTGGATGTCCTGATTAACAAGGGAGGATGCAGAGTTTAGAAAGGGAGAGGATAAAAACTTCATGACAAAAGACGAGCGGATCACCGACACAAACTTGCATTCACGTGTGAACTTTCCTCAGCTAAGAGAAAGATGTTGGAACAGGACGGACGTAGGTGGAACCACATGTTATTGTATGAATTTTGACAAGACAAAAGGAAAAATGTGCGCATTCATGCAGCGTGGAAACTGTGAATCATTAAAAACACAATAGACACACAAGAGGACTTGTTCCATGGTTCGATACTGGTTCCTCAATCAAGCCGCGCATCAGGAAGTGGCTGTGATTGGCAGGCAGTACCTGGGCTGTGAGCTGGATAGGCTGGGAGAGGGCAAGCTGGGGTGGAGGAGGAGGAGGCTGAGGGACAGGGACACTCTGGCCTGTCTGGTCCTGTGTGCTCTGTCCCTGTCCCTGGGACTGCTGCTGGGCCTGCTGCCCTGTCTGTCCCACCTGCTGCTGCTGCTGCTGCTGCTGCTGGGCTTGCTGATTTGCGGCTGCGGCTGCCTGAGCTTGCTGATTGGCTTGGGCGGCTGCGTGGGCAGCGTGAGCGGCGTGGGCTGCACTGGACTGCTGCACAGCTGCAGCCAGGAGCTGCGCTTGAGCCTGCTGCAGCAACAACTGCTGCTGTGCCGGCAATAGAGCTGTCAACTGGCGAGGAGAAAGAAGAGAAGAGGAGCAAAGAGGAGAAAATTGAGATAAAGTAGAGAAGAAGGAAATGAACAGAGGGAGATAAAGCAGGGTATAAAGTGTTCAAAAAGCAGCACAAGAGAAGCAAGCAGAGTAAAAGCAAAGCAAGTGTGTGTGTGTGAGAGAGAGAGTGTGTGTGTGTGTGTGTGTGTGCATTTGCCGTAAATTTATCTCACCCCTGCAAGTTGGGAGCCGGTCAGCATGAGCTGTGTGTGTTGCAGAGCCGTCTGTGAGGGGGTCGGGCCGTGAGAGAGAGGAAGGGCCGGGGACATCTCACCACATTCCTCCATCTTGTTCTGTGGGGGAAACAGAAAATAGATAGAGACGATTAGTATTTTTAAAAAGAACAAAATAAAGCATGAAACATTAATACACATCAAATTCTGGTGCGTTCCCATCATGCCAACACTGAAAAGAGAAATGAGCCGAATCCTTACAGAAAAAAACTGGCAGCAACAGGTTATTAAAGCTTTCCTGCCCTGAAGAGACAGTGAAATACTGACAAAGTAACTTACTTTTAAAAACAGATAGAAACTAAATCCCCTCAAAGTCTCACCTGATTTTCAAAAGTTGGTGCGTAACGTCAAAGTCAGCTTACAAAAACTCACATGTAAGCTGAGCAGAAATGTCTCAAGTTTGCCTCAGGGAATGAAAAGCCCACTAGTGTTTCTGTTTCTTACACAAAGGGGTGATCGTTTCTCCCTGGATAGGGCATGTTTGAACTAGTGATGGGGGGGACTCTTCCAGCTAACTGATTTGCATAAGATTTGCATACGATTTTTCTTCGGTGAGTCGTAATATTAGTGCTTTTTTTTTTTCTTCTCCTGATTTTGAAAGATCTGTGGGTTTGCAGAGTGCCATCGTATCCCAGCTCCCCTCAGTAAATATGTTTACACTGGATGCACTGGGTGGGGTGTCGACACGTTATGAACCTCAACGTCCAACGTGACAAAAGAGCACTTCGAACGCGAGGCAATGAATATAAAGCTGAGGCAGCTATCATGTCAATAAACCTATTGTGTGATGTGAAAACACAAAAGACGCACAAACAGAGGCCCAGGCATACGCACAGACACGCACAGGCAGTTAAGTAACACACACACACATTCACACACACACTCACCTTGCTGCTGCCCAGGTTTGGTGAGAGAGGAAAGGGATTGACTTTCATTGACTGAGCCTGCGAGAGGAACAACAGAGGAAATTTCAAGTCAGCAATCGAAACCAAAAATGATCCTCACTGAATTCAATTTAGTTTTTTTTTTCTATTTATTTTTCATTTTAAATGTGATATGAGTATGAGAAGATTGGACAATTTTTTGGGAGTGGAAGATTTATTCTAAAGAGAAATCTTTAAATTTTTTCAACAAGTTTTAAGTAAAAACTAAAAAATTAAAATAATTCACAGCTTCAAACTTGAGAATATTGTTGCTGCTCTTTGTTTTCTTTTTGTCGATTGAATATATTTAAAATTCAACATGAATTTTTACTTCTGCCACTTCAGATATTATGTTAAGTAGATTTTTCACAATTTTCCCGAAGGTTTAATTGAAAGAAAAAGCGTTACAATCGCAGATGTAATCAACCCTAAAACGGTCTGCGGCTTGTTTTCGTCAGATCAGTCATTGGTGAAAGTGGTTGGAAGACATTTGTAATGAACATGAGAGTCAGACGTACCTGGTGATTTGATTCAGGTCCATTCCGCTCTGAATCTGCGTAGGAGGAAAAGGAAAAAGTGAGAAACTGATCGAGTGTCAGAGCAAAAATAATACGATGAAGGACTTTTAACATACAATACCAACAACTCGTGAAAACCTCAAAAACCATCTAAGCAAGAGAAACACCTGCTCTACTGTACAAGTCAAAGTTTGATATGTTCTCTGTGATTAACAATGACACTTTGATCCTGGCCATTACACTTTCATAATAAAACTTACTTTTATATACTCTTTTAATTCGTCCAAATAGTGGTTTATAATATTTCAGTGTTTTATATCGCAGTGTATCTCACCTGTGCCCTCCAACGGCGAGTCAGCCCCTACTTTCTCCACCTCTCCTGGCTTTGACATCCTGATTTCTGTAACACACACACACACACAGACAAATAAGTCAGTGGAGTTTCATTCTTAAATCTGTGTCAGATGAAAAGGAAAGTGCAGTCCAAGCAGAAAGATAAATGTTTACTCGGCAGCTGATCAGAATCTCGATGACAAAGGGGGAAAAAGGATGGTCAGGTTTGTGAAGATTTGAGCTGAGTGTTTTCAGGTCATGGCACGAGCCTACACACACTGTATCAGAAAACAGTGCGGCTGAATCATTCACATGTCGACTCGCAGCCCACATTCATTCATACTTTCCAAGTCAGCGGTTTAACATAAGAGTAGGTCGAAGAAAGGTGCTGCTTCTAAATTTAACTCAAGATTTTTACGTGGGAGACATATAGCGCTAAAAATGTCACAAGTTGTGTGTAATCCATTTTTACGACCACATCACTTCCTGGTTGATACCGAACTGGGACGGCACCTAGGGCTACGGCGCTGATAAGAGGCAGTAAATTTAAAACTTAATCATCACAAAAAGAAGAGAAGACTCTGCAGCAGGGAGTGTGGAAAAGAAGGAACAATTATCAGAGGAGGAATTATGTTAAAGTGTGTAGCTGTGTTTGTTTAGTTGTGTGTGTGTGTTTGCCAAAGTTATTTTTTTATCACTCAAATGGCATCATCTCACCAAAAGTGCTTTTTCTTATTTGTCTGAAACCTGAAACTGTAAGAACACTGCTTATTATCCAGTTGAAACCTTTTCTCTCTCTCACTGACACACACACACACACACACACACACACACACACACACACACACACACACACACACACACACACACACACACACACACACAGCTACTTCCCTTTTGTGAAAACATGCAAATCTGCCCAACGACCAACTAATTATATCTGCCACCTGCATAATAAACTCTCAGTCTCCCTCCTCCTCCTCTTTTTTCTCTCTTCTTTCACCCTCTCCTTCCTCCTCTTCATCCTGTTTTCTCTCTTTGTAGACAAGAAAACAACCACTGCCCACTGCTATGATCACGTTCGCCTTTTTGCTTTTCTTTATCAATATAAATATGAGAAATGAAACAGTGAAAATAAAGGCAACTAAAGATCTCATTTTTGGCTCTGCAACACAAACAAGCGAGTGGTCAAGCATTGGTTCCACCATTGGGGGGCAGCAGCGACACACAAAGAAGAAGACAAACATGAACCACTGACCACCGCTGACCTGATGCCTGTTTTTAAACACCAACCTGTCAGTCCAGAAGAACATTTATAGAGGAAAATTTCAGGGTTTAATCAAAAAGGCAATGAGACTTGAGATGAAGATCACAAGGGCGTTAAGTCTGGTTTAGTCCAGAAATGAAAAAAACCTTCAAAATCTACAATTCAAGCCTGTTAAACTTTGAATTATTATGACCTGGAGGACAGGAAACACTCACAGATATCTTTCAGTCAAATATAAATCTCCCCTCCCCTTTAAGACACATGTGAACAGGGTGGACTTGGGTGCGTAGAGCATCTTTCCGGAAAGGGGGAAGTGGCGTGAGCTGGAAAAGCTAAACTCGACTGCTGCAGTGGTTATAACCCGGGGTCAGGGAAAACACACACACTCACACGCACAGAAACACACACACTGACAAAATAACCGCAGGATTTCCTTCAAATAAACGGACTTCTGCAAAAGTTATATTGGCCGCTGACCATGTGCATGCAAAACGTCTGGTTAATGTATTATTAGGGTTGATTTGTGGTTTTTCCAAAGGTATAAACAGCATCTGCTGTGTGTCACTGGTCTCACCATTATTGCATAATTTTCAGTGAAAGGCACTAAATCTGCACTTGAATGATGTCATGTCTTGAATTATCTTGAATTAAACTGGCCTCTTCTCTTTTGTTATATGTGCAGTGTTAAGGGGAGCAAAGCCAAATCCACCATATAAAATGATTGTCCATCTCATAAAACAGCTGCAAGGTGAAGTTCCCAGAGCGCTGCCTCTTGTACAGTATAGTGCCTGCTCACAGGAGAAGGTGTGTATTGATTCATGGCTCAAAATGGCCTACAGACAGTAGCATGGTGGATAATGTGGTCAGTGATACAGTAGTGGGACAGTATATCAAGATGCTGTGTCTTTTTCTCACTTCCCCTCCCGACTTCCCCTTGTACCGGGTTGAACGCAGAGTGCTAAACCCAACACTTACTGTCAGCGTGGCTATTAATATTAGCCTGCTCTCTCCCTCTCTTTCACTCTGTCTTATAGAAACCTCACTCTCTTTTAGACACACTGCTGCACGCACAAACACACAACTATTTCTGCTTGAGAAAGCGCAGACGTATGATTTCAACATTTTCATATTTTTGTCAATAATTAAAAATCAAATAAAGGAGGAAGATCTCCTCTGTTTTCTTTGATACTGTTAAATAAAAAAACTCCATTTACAGAGGAAGGTTGAATTACTATGAGTGTTTCGTCCCTTGTTAATCTGTTACACCAAATGCTAATCTTGAAGCAAAGCTCTGGGTTTATCTATGACCCGGTGGGGCTGTAGAGACACACAACTCTCACTGTGTCTTAAACAGAGCAAATTTAATGCTGTATAATCCTGTGTCATGAATAAATGATGCAACAGAAAGGAACAAGGAACAACAGAGTGTAAGCTCAGTCTGGGCTCTTTCTGTTATTCTCCTCTGGGTATTTTGGCAGAGATGAAACTCCCCTGCAACTAACACCCCTGCCAACCCCCCACAAAGGACAGCAGGACACAACCTCAGCGCTTAAAAGGGTGTCTGGGAACTATAGAGTCATGATAAGAGTAAACTAAAAATAATAATGACAATAAAAAGCATTGTAAAAGACATTTTATCTGTGTGAAACGTAAACCTCAAAGAGAGAGAGAATAGAGACATCTGGATACGTAGTTTCAAACATCTGCATGAGGGTGACGGAATGAATCCATTCAAGGAATAAATGACAAGAAAAGGAGTTAACAAGTTAAATCCAACAAAAAGAGACAGAAAGCAGAAAGAAGTTAAGGCGCAGGTTGATAATCAAGAGTGTAACATTTCATGACAGTTTGGATTTGTGATACTCTTGATTGTTCCATTACAGTAAAATCACTTTATGCTTGTACTTTCTTCCACATTAATAAAAAGACCCGAGACTTGATGCTGCTTCAAATTAATTCCTCTTCTCTAAACGTCTTTGGAATCAATCAAACGCCTGCAAGAAAACAGACAAATGCCAGAAATGTGGCAGAAACTCTCAGAAATCATGTGCAGAATCTTGTTTGTAAGTGTGAAGAAAGAAATTTAATTTCACTCTGCACTGATGCACTCTAAGCATATTTATATATTTTAAATCTCACATGCAGAGGGCAAGCCGACTATATAAACCATAGAGTCATTAACAAAAATGAGAAAAATGCTGCTTTTCAGTTTAGGCAAGACTCTTGATTTTATCTGTATTTCTTGTTTATTTTGTCACAAAGACGAACTGTTAAATCCACCCTTTCTATACAAGAGTATTTCAGATTGATTGTTGTAAATCTGCTTCACTTACACAAATCTATTAATATCAAATTTATACTCATTTTGTTTTTGTTTCCCACGACTCTTCTTTACTCATTTCATCCACAGAAGACCTTTGTTTGTTTTTGCATCGTGACCCAATAAGTCAAATATATGTCAGATGCAGTTTTGCGCTCAGGATGTGTCAGTCTGGTCTGAGTAAATTACTGGAGGTCACGGCATTGACCGCATCAGGTTCAGATTTGACTCACTGATTTGTAACGACTGAATCATCTTCTTGATAAACAATCAAAGATTGTCGATCAGTGACAACTTTTATACTTCATATCAGGACATCGAATGATAAGAATCTGAGCTGATTGACATTTCAGACATAAGTTCTGGTAATTGATGAGTCAGTGATGATCCTGCTGAGCTTTCACCATAACTCTTTGTCGCTTAATTAAGACTTAATCTGATGCTGCTCTCAGCGCTGAGAAAAAGGCCGCAGGGTTAGAGGAGCTGTATTTTTGTTCTGCTTTGTGTGAATATTTGCGTCAAATACTGAGAATTGAAATTATTTTAGTCCATTTCCTCTTTTGAATATCTGGACTTTTTACAACCGAGAAAATTCCAAAGTCCAGCTTCAGACACAATTTTGGAGTGATTTAAAAAAGTTTCAAAAAAGCATTAATCAGTGCAGCCCACACACACACACATGCACACACACACGTACACAAACACTTTCACACTGGCAGACACACACCAAAAACACGCACACACGCAGAAAGTTTACATAAGACTGAAAGTGGCGAGGTGAAGAAAACCAAACCAGTTACAAATGAACAAAGTGAACTCAAAATCAACCTGCTGCAGTGACGGACAATAAAAGAAAAAGTGTTTTTTTTTTTTTTTCTAAGACAACTTCAGAAATAATGAGAAATTCTGATGAAACACACGAGCTGCAACAATATTTGTTCAATTCAAGACATTTTAGGTAATTTCTTCACATGTTTTTAGCATTTATCATTGCCCCCAAACACAGATGCACACACACACACACACTCACATATATATATATATATACACATATAGAGTCAAATACACTCCCGGCTGGCGAGGTGTCTGACCTTTCCCTCTGTCAGTGACAGGCGTCCATCCATCCCTCCACATCTTTCTCTCCCTCCCATCTCTCGCTCTTTGATGTTCTCTAATTAGCAGAGCTTCTTAGACCCGGTGGCATTAATCAACAGTGTATACACAGTTCTTCTTCTAACACACACACACACACACACACACACACACACACACACGCCCAGCTTAATTGGTCTCAGTAAATGAAGGCCGGTACAGAGAGGGCTGCACAGACAGTCACTCACCTGGCAACCACATACTGGAGAAGTCCTTTGCTGCTATCGCTGCTGTCTTGGTCATATCTGTGTTTGAGAGTTTGTGTGTGTGGCTGTGTGTATGTGTGTGTGTGTGTGAGCACACTACCTAAAGGAAAAACTCTCACTGTCCCTCTCTCTCTATCTCTGTAACCAAAAGGAGGAGTGTTTCAAATCATATGAGAGAATCTCTCTCTCCCTTGCTCTCTCCTACAATTGCATGACAGCCCACACCCCCTAAGCCCCGCCTCCTACCCCACATCCTGAAACACAGGAAGTAAGCCTCAAAAGAGTAGGAACTCAGAGGAGAGAGAGAAATAAAACAGCAACAGAAGGAGAGAAAGAAAAGAGAGAAAGAAAAAAGGGGGACACGAAAGAGGTTAGAGAGTGGAGGAGTGAGTGAGGGAGGAGATTACAGAGATAGACGAGGAGAAAAGAGGGGGATGATGGGTGACGATGGAAAGTGATGGCGTGGCTGGAAACAGACACTCACACACGCTCACACACATGTGAGAAAAACAGCGCGCTTGACATTCTGGCTGTGTGAGCTACATTTGCACCGCGGATGACCTGGTGTAGCTTTAAAACCTTTCCAAGCTCGACTCTCAGAGTTTTTCCTCAACTTTCAGCTATTTCGACAACCTCTCTTTTCCTGTTTTTATCTACCATGAGTCATGAGTGATATCTGTGTCGACTCCGGGCTGTGGGGTTGTCAGAGAGACATCAGTGGGTGTAAGGTGGTCTGTGAGGGAGGTCGGCACCTATAAGAGAATAAGTGAGACATCATCTACTGTACCAGTCACGGCTCCTCTCTGACACCGAGAGGAAAGAAAAACGCAGTCACAACCCTCACTCACCACTGACCAACCTACAGTGTGGGCTGCACACACTTACACTCCACAGAAGGTCTGTATGTGGGGCGAAGATGTGGCATCAAAGTGGAACATTGCAGATCAAATACATGCGACCTGATGTCAGAGTCGCCCACTGGAATTGACAAAGAAAATGCTAAAAAAGTTAAAGATTTCAAGACTAAAAATAAAACCCAGAATAGCACATCCAAGCAGAAATACTGCCTCCTTTTTCAAATGTAAGGCTGCCTATACCTATGTGCCATTCTCACAGTGTGCAAAGTCAACCACAAGGTGGCACTCTTGATTCTCTGATCCTGATGAACACAGGAGCTCCATCTGCGGAGGGAGAAGACAAGGTGGACCACTGATCACTCCTTCCCTCCTTTACAGTCTTTCTCCCTTGGTCCGAGTTCACTAATTCAAAAGCTAACGGCAGCAGAGTTCCCAAGTTTAACCTTATAAATACTTTATGTGGTGATTTACAACAGGCCAATGTACTGCTGCAGAGGCGCTCGCTGAGAAGTGCATACAGTACTGTGCTGAGAGGGCTTCAACTTATAGACATGCCTTTTTTTTATATATCTGTTCTTTTACACGTAGAAAAAGCTGCTGTGGTTACGCATTAAAATGAACTCAAAAAGAAGGAAAATATGGAGAGAGTAACTTTCCTGAGCTCAATATGCAGGATATTTGTGATTACATGGCCGAGCTTAGAGTTTAGATAATGATTCAGAGGACCAGCAGGAAAAAAAAAATATTAATCATAAATGGGCTCATTTTGTGGAAGTTCTTTTTAAAAACAATATTCTGTTTTATTATTAATGATAAGGAATTAGTTTCTGGTGTTTAAAATAAGATGTTCCTTTATTTGTCCCACAGGGGGAAATTCCAAAATTACAGTAGCATAGTGTAGATACAAAAAGAGAAAAATTAAAAAATAAAGAAACTTTTAGTGTAAAACAAGATCTGTGCATGCGTCGTATTTACATCTGTACAGAACTTAAATAATAAGAGGGTTTACTGCACATGGAGGTTCCTGTTTGTGTTAAAATGGAAAAAAGAAAATGCTTTTATTATATACATGGACACTGTGATAATCTGATTTATTTCTTTTATGTTTTAGACTATTTCATAGATAAAAAGTGCATCAATTACTGTAAAAAATACCACAGCACGACTGAGTACTCGAATGGCCATTTGTTACAGAACTGGTTTCACCCACTGCCCTCCTCTCTTTGTCATGCTTATTAACCGATATACCAATTTACCTGTATCTGTATATCAACTGCTATTGTTTAAGTTACATTTCATGTTCAGTGCCCAGCATAAGTCAGTACACCCCCTCTAAAAAGTATTACTCAATATCTAAATGAGCAAAAGTACAATTTCCACAGTTTTGACAAAGCTGATTTTAACATAACATTTATTAAACCATTAGATGAAAATAAGGCTGATATGGTCACTAAAATTTAGCTTTGCTCCTAAAGCTTTGATTGCGGTGTACTCATTTTTGCATCTTAATTTTAAATTAAAAAAATATAATTTTGTATGCAACTTAAAAAAAATCTTGTTTGTAATCAATGGCCTCCATTTGGGGGAGTATTTTGTTTTGTAGTCTGACATAGAAAATGTTGATTTTGAAGAAAACTAAAGGTTTTCTGACGACTCTAAAGGGGTGTACTCATTTATGCTGAGTACTGTATATTATTGATTAGATGGGATAGAAGATTCAGGGAGAGGAGACTATAAAGGGAGACGTTCAACAAAAAGTTGCAGACAGGAATTGAACCAATGATCACTGCGGTGAGGACTATAACCTAAAAACATGATCATTAGGCCATCAACGCTCCAGAGTCCCTGCATCCCTGAAAGTGTTTCTGCATATGTGTGTTTGAGGCCGGACCGAGGACAGTGACAGACTGCGTTTTGGAGAGGAGGCGTTTCTCCAGGGTCAGAGGTCGTCTGGGCAGCCTGGCTTTGGCCATGACCTTTATTCAAACTCCAATCTACCCATGTAACTACCAACGCGCGTGTGTGAGTGAGTGCGTATTTGTTTGGGCAGCTCCAACTGATGGCGGGTGCTTGAGTGTGCTTGAGTGTGCGATTGTGTGTGATTGTGTGTGTGTATATGTCATTGTGCGTTGTATGGTTCATGGCCATGGGGGGCCTTCCTGCCCAAAGAAGGTCTGAGCCTTGGTTACCTTGGTGACCGGACCAAACCACACTCCTGCTTACCGCCTATATGACATTGAGCCTCTGAAATTGTCTCAATTATGGTGGAAATAAAAACTGAGATCACATAAAAACATTAATTCTCGATTTGGACGAGGATGCTTAAAGTTATATAAAAGAGTGGATGTGTAACTTACAGAGTCTGTGGGGGGAAATACTAGATATGTTTATGAGTGGGTTTTGGTCACCCCTAGAAGTTATATTTGTGGGTAATAAAGAAACACATCAACTCACGCACACACACACACGTATACACACACACAGAATCTGATAGTGGGACCCCAGGGAGGAGGATGGGGGGAGGCTGGGGCCTCTAGAGCGCCATCAATCACTCCACTGTCAGGGAGGGAGAAGGAAAGGCAGGAAGAGAGGATAGAGGGGGTGCTAAAGGGGGGTATAGTAAAGACAAAAAAAGAAGGCAAGGAGTGTTTGGAATAAAGGTGGAAAACGGGAATAAAAAGGTGAGGAGGAAGGTTGTTAGGTGAAGAACGCTGGGAGGGGAGTGTATATACAATGAGTCGTTGCAGGGACAATTGAAAGGGTCTCCAAACCAGTACAGCTCCCCTCTACGGCTCGGGTCCTCCTATATCTAGCGCAGCCTCGGGCCTGGAGCACACACTGGCTCTAATTCATATAATCCATCATATTCCTCTGCTTATAGAAGGGACAGAGAGCGGCTCAGTGATGGACCCACCAAAGTCCTGCACCCAGTCCGACTGCAAGACTCTATTCTGCAAGGTGAGATTTAAAATCCAGTCTGATGTATAGGTGAGGGTGTGTGTGCGTGTGTAAGTGTAGCCCCATGAGGAGTTGCAGGATTATAAACAGTAGGTCTAGCAGTGTGCAGACTACAGAGGTTGAGGTTTTGTATGAGAAGCAGCGGGGGCTAAAACACACTCACACTGTTGGCTGCCATGGGACCCGCACCATCTCACTCACACGCACACAAAACCGCCCACACCTTTACAACACCTATTCCTCTCCCGTCCTAATACCTCTCAATCGCTCCTTTTCCTCCAGCCCCTCCACCCCTTCGTCCCTCTCTCTCTCTCTCTCTCTCTCTCTCTTACACCGTTCCCCTTCTCTCTATATCATCTCTCAGCCCATAGGGAGCCGGGCTTGTCTAGACAGACACGGCTCTCTCCCACGGCGCAACCAAGGTTGAAGCTCAAATCTTTTTCTTTTTCGCTCCTATCGCTCCCTCCTCTTCTTCCGTTTCTTCCTCTTCACCTGACACAAGAGCGGAGGGTCTACTGGGAGGAACTGGTGGCCTTCATCGCTCAAGGAGTGTCAAGGCCACTTAAGAATGAGATGTCCACTTACACTAACTGTTGTGTAGTGCCGGGTTTCATACTCGAATTAAAATACAAAAGCAAAACACTTCAACCATGGGAAAACCCTCATTTTTCCCACTTTTTCACCTCCTCACCTGATCTACCTTTTCCTCCTCCTCATGATCATCCCCTTATTTATTTTTTTATTTATTTTACAACCCTCCTCCTCCTCCATTTCTTCCTCCAATTTAAACTTTCTCTTCCCCTCTTCCTCTGCCTCTCTTTCTTTCACAGACCTGCTGGTCAGCAGCAGCTGTGACATCACCGGCCACTGTTCTCCGCTCGGATTGGACACTCGGCCACGTTGCCAGGCAACAGCAGTGAAAGGTCTCGGTGTGAGCGTGTGTGTGCAGCATGCGCGTGTATGTGTGTGTTTATGTCTGTTTATAGCTACGTGAGTGAAAGGTGTGTGAGCGATTTTCTTCGCCTTGCCCTTTATCTGTGCATGAAGAATGATCAGAACAGATCTACTTCTTTGCTCCGTCTCAGATCAAAGCATATAGATGATTGGGCTGCCTCCCCACAGTCCTCCACCATAGAAGAAGAAGAAGAAGAAGAAGAAGAAGAAGAAGAAAAGAAGAAGAAGAAGAAGAGGGATGTGTGTGGATTGCCTTAATGAAAAAGAAAGATGCTACAAATGTGAGCGTGTGTCAGTGTCTGCACTTGCGTCGAACCAAATAAATGTGTATGTTGGTGTCGAAAATGGGTATCTGTCTGTATGTTGCGTGTGTGTGTGTGTCTAAATGTGTGTGTGTAAGCCCCCGGGAGCGGGTGGTTATTGTATCTGACACAGCGGCTCTTTCTCGCGCCTCATATTTCTGGGCCGATCGATTCCTCTGACTCCCGACAAGACAATAATCGCACCTCCCTCTCTCACTCCATCACTACCATTATTACTGACCTCCCCAGGGAATGAACGGAGTGGAGGGAGGGAGAGAGGGATAAGGAAGGAAAGAAGGAAGGATGCAGGGAGGGTGAGGAATGAGAGGGGGACATGGGGTTGACAAAATGAGCCTATGATGATGAAAAAGCAAAAAGGAACAGTGTTGAATATGAGGCAGGGAGACTTGGCTCGGAGTCAGAAAAAAGAAGACGAGAGGGAGAAAGTTAGGATGCAGTGATGGAGGGAAGAGAGGAGAGACAGAGCAAGAAAGATAGGGATAAGGGTCCGAAAAGTGAGAGAAAGAATGAGGGAAAGCTTGACAAGAGAGGGCAGGAAGGAAGAGAAAATACAGCGAGTAATACAGATGACGGCGAGAGCGGAAAGGAGAACACAAGTGAAGAAGTGTGAGGAGACGGAGGGCCGAACGGAGGGACAATAACGGAGAGAATTAGTGGAGGAGAGATGAAGGATTCGCACTATCTTCTTCTAATAAAGGAGAGAATGAGAGACAGGGACCGGGGGAGGGAGATGGAGGGGGGAGGGAGGGGTGGGGGTTAGACTGAGGTGAAAGAGAGACAGAGAAATATATAGGAACACACACACACACACAAATACACACACACAGATATACAGAGCGATGGCAGTGAGTGTGGAGGTCAGCGCTCAGAAATATTATTAAATTGACAAGAGTACAATAGTTGATTGGCAGGCTGACTCCTGTGCCGCCATTCAGTGGAGAAGAATGGAGAGAAGGACTCACACACATTCACAGTCACACACACACACACACACAAAATGCATACACATCTGTAATCGCACAGCATGTAGAAATGTACCCAACACACACACAAACACATCGCCTTTGTCTGTTTAGTGTCTGTGTGTGTGTGTGTGTCTGTGTGTGTGTGTCCTGTCACTGCGGTGTCTCAATGCTTTGAATCCAGATTACAATTACAGTAATTGGCTCTCAATTCAAGGGATTGCTGTTTGACCCCCTCACCTCTCTCTCTCTCTCTGTTCCTTTTCTCTCTCTCTCATCCCTTCACATTTTGCCTCTTCCTCTACCTCCTCCTCCTCCTCCTCATCAATATTCCTCCGCCTCCTCTCTACCTGTATCGCTACATCCATCTTTCTTTGGGTGCAATCCCTCTCCCCCCCTGTGACTCCTACCTTTTCTTTACCTTATCCCTTATGTCTCCCCCCTTCACTTCCACACACAATCACACTTTATCCCCACATATAACTATCTTTCCTCTCTCTTCTTCTCTATCTTCTTCTTCGCTCCCTGGTTGTTTTACCTCTTGTGCACTCGCTCCACCATTTTTGCCACTTTTCCTCCCTCATCTCTTGCTTTTTCTGAGATAGTTGGGGAAACAGGGAATCTATTGTATACTTTATTCATGCTGTATTTATTATGGAGAGATAGCTGTTCTCTTATACAGTCAGGGGGGGATACAGTGTGCGTTTAGGGAGAGAGGTGAAAGAGGGATAGATACAAAAAATGAAGGAGGTAAGGAAAGGGGGTGATAGAGGTGGTGGTGATGGTGATGGTGTGTTGGGGAGGTGGTGGTGAAGCAAGCAAGGAGGAGGAGGAGGGGGGAGGAGGGGGGTTAGGAAATTGGTCTGGCTAGCGGAACAGCTTTTCACCTCTCTCTCTCTCTCCCTCTTTTTCTCTCTCCCCCTCTCTTTCTCTCTCCCTCTCTCTATTCTGCTTTGTATTCTGCAGAGATGACAGGGGGAAAGCTTTATTGCTCCGAGTTTGTATCGATCGGGGCCCCTCTGAGGGGGGAGGCCGGGGGACGCGCTGAGCAGGCCCTTCTGCAACGACCACGGCTCAAACAACCCACCCCTCCTCACCTCTCAGCGCACACCGCCCCCCCTCCTCCTCCTCCTTCTCGTCTTCCTCCTCCTCCTCTTCCCAAACCCGACTCTTGCTCGCTAGCTTGCTCTGAAATTCAAATTCAAGGCTCTTATTCTCAAAGGTTAGGAGAGAGAATGAGGAAAGCAAGAGAGGAAGAGCGACTGAATGAAAGAGAGATGGAGGTGCCTGGATTCTTCCTGACTGAGGCTCTGAATGGAGCAGGGATCTGATAAGCAGAGCCCACAAACACAAACAAGGGAAAATGGAGAAATAAAGGAGAGAGCAAAGAAAAATAGCCAGGAGGATTATAACAGCCCTTCTCCTTTTCTCTCCCTCCTTATCTTTCCATCTTCTCTTCCTCCTTTTCTCACAAACTGTCCCCTGTCCTGTCCTCCTCCCCTGCTTTGTCTCCATTTTTCCCGAGGTGAGAATGACTTTGTTGACAGGTGAAGAATGAGGCGGGTTCGAGCGTGCATAAACCTCCCTGCTTCTGTCCTCGTTAGAGGGACACCAGGAGAGCTGGAAGAGACAGAGAGAGAACCGAAAAGATCCGCACTGACCGCTGTTTCGAAGATCATAAATATAAAGAAAAATCATCCAACAGATGTAGAAATCTAATCAAAAGTGGACAAGTTCCTCCGAGTTAAAATAGCAAATCAAAAAGCGCTTCAGGCTTTTTTTTCATCCTGTCTGTTTGACAAGCCGCAAATAAAAAGGGGGCAAGACCCAACGTCAAAGCCAGGGCCAACTGACCAAACACTTGACTCATATGTGTCCACGCACGCACGCACACACACAAACACATGGACAGCCTATTTATCCGTTAATGGCATGCACAGCACTGCAGCCAGGCTGGGGAGAAGAACAGATTGTCCATCAGGGGGTTACGGGGTTCAAGTCCATGACCAGAGGGCTAGAGTAAGGCTAGGGGGTTGCAGGTTCAACTCCCATGGGGCGAGGAGGATCCCTGCTGTCTCCCGTCAGACTTAAAACCCACCCCCCAGGACAATACCCCCCCTTCTCCTTTCTTCCTCCTCTTCACCTACCTCCACCCCTCTTTTCTCCTCTCCATCCTGCTGCTGGCCCTTTTAAGCCCTGCTTAGTCTGATCACACACGTGTAAACCTGAGCCTAGCCTCCAGACTCTCTCTATTTGTCTCAGATGTGCACACGCACTCGCAACCGTGCGCCAAAACAAAAAAGCAAACACACACACACACATGCATGCAATCATATACAGATAAACCACCGACGCACAAACATATTCGCACAACTCCAATACACCCTTGCAATTCAAATACAAATGATTTGCTCCTGCTATCTTCTCTTTTCCCATAATGCAGGAAATCACTTTATTTTTCCACAGGCACCGTGATCGAAAAGGCTTCTTCCCCTCTCAAACTCCATCTCACTTACTCCTCTTGTGGTAAAGACCAAACAGAAACACAGCATTGCCTCGGCTATCAGCAGCAGCAGATGTGAGTGGATATGAGATATTTGTGTAAACATAGGATACATATACTGTATATATATTGTCATTGATATTGCCTGTGTGGTTTACGCAGGGCTTCAGATTGAGTTCAGTGATAGAGTATACATCAGAGACTTCTGCTGGATGCTGGAAACACGTCCGATTCATACAAGAATACAAACACACCATGCACACATGCACACACACTGGCACAATAACCTCCAGGCCTATAACCTGCCTTGTTGGCTGGATGCATTATTAAACACGCAGGATTTTATATGTAGAAACAGAATATGAATGCTGCTCTGGGTCCAACTGTGGACATTGGTTTACCCGCTGCAGACTTCACTCTTTTACATTTTACCCTCGCTTTTGTTACACTTAATATTTACTTGATTTGTTGGCTACCTTATTTGTATTCTGTGTCTTCTTACTGGTATTCTAATCTGACTCCTTCTGTTTTCTCTGTATACAAAGCACTTATTAAACCCCTGTCCATCCTGAAAGAAGAAATCCTTCTTCTGTTGCTTTTCCTGGGTTTCACCTTTTCCTGTAAGAGGATTGCTTTTGTCGAGCTTGAATCCAGAGTCTAAGGATGTCATGTTTAAAACACCATCCAGATCTTTAAGCCCACAGAGGCAAATATCTAAAAAGACGAAATATACAAAATGTCGTGTAAAATGTCGATAAACAGCATGTCATAGTCACGAATGCCAGATTTACTCTATTTTTTAAGTTTGGTTGTATTTCTCTCTTTTGAAGCTTGCAGACCTCAAAAGCTGATCAGTGCGCTGCAGGTGGAGGAACACCTAAATAAAACATAAACTTACATACTTCAGATGTTACTGCTAGGGTTGGACTTTCTGAAAGTAGTTGATACCCTTGCTACCATACTGGTTCTCCACCTTTGGATCCCCCTTTGGGTATGACACTCACGATTGACACGTTTCACCCAACTCAGCTTAAAGAACATAAACCATCCCGTCAAAGGCTCTTAAGTTTTGTCAGTAAACAAACTTTCCAGATGTAGGATTGAAATGGATCAAGCAGAATCTGGATTGGGATCCTGCACTGATCAAAAATGCCTGGGAACAAGAGTGATGGCGATGGAGCATGTGCGACGCCATCCTACAAATGATCATGACTCTCAGTCTCTAAAGAGCGCGTCTGAAATCAGGTGAAAAACACTAAATCCCGCTGATTAACCAAAAGGCCCGCACATGAGCAGCGGTCGAACTACAACTAAACCACAACACGAGCGCTGTGTGTGTTTACATCTGTAGGGCGGGCGGGCCGAGCCCTGACTCTCACGGTAATCGATGAACGAGGGAGGAAAGGGAGGCAGCGGGCGAGGCAGAGATGTGCGTGGGGGAGGGCAGGTGGGAGAAAATCGGTAAAGAAAGCAGGTTATCTCCCGTCATTAGGGGAGGGGGAATCCCTGTCTGGAGGTGGGGTGGGGGGTGAGGTGGGTGAGGAGGGGTGAGGGAAGACCGGGGTTCATTGATAAAAAGGGAGGGAGGGAGGGTGAGGGGAGAAGGGGAGACTATGTTTGGCATCGAGAGAGAGCAGACAATTATCTGTATTGATTAGAGCGGCCCAGTACTGTGAAGACTGAGAAAACTATGACTGGATCAATACAGAGAGAGGGAGGGAGGGAGGGAGAGAGAGGGGGAGAGAGAGGGAGTTAGACGATAGACAGACCAATAGAGAGAAACAAACGACGGGAGTAAAAGATACATATAATGACAAACATAAAGAGATAGAAAGAGAGTTTATAGTTTTAAGTGAAGTTCAAACACCCGGGGTGGCATAAATGTTGAAAGGGGAGTTTCGGGGGACACAGGGAGTCAATGAAAGCACGGAGAGATACATTACATCGTTGATGTCATTACTCTTTATCATTGATTTGTCAGCACGACCACAGAGTTCATTCAACAAGCCCACCAGAGCCTTCCCATCACCACAGCACACAGCTAAGCAGAGGGAGACATTAACTTAATACACACTGAGTGACCACATCCTGACCGCCGGGACTGGGAGGAACAGAGACAAACCTGGCAACCCAGACAAAAACAGACTGGGGCAAAGGGTACAGAGATCACTGATGTCAAGAGAACTGCTGGTTTCCCCAGAAGTTGCTCACACGCTGAAAAAGTTGAACTCACTTCGATTCTCACAGGTACTTTTGTCTGGTCACGAAACTCTCAGGATGAGAAGTTTGAGTGATGTCGAGCAAAGTCTGGACAATCATACTGAAACTTTCAATCTACTATGTTTGGCTTTATGTGCTTTTCTAGGTAAATAAGCAGCATCTGTATTTAGCCTAAAACTCATGACTGGAGCTTACAAACGCTTCCTTTCATATTCAAGTGTCCTCTAATGTTCATGTTTGCCCGGAAGTGTCTGCATGCCAATGTTAGCTGTTTTCTAACAGGGGGTAATGGTTTTGCTTTCACTTGTCTTTGCAGATATCAATCAATCCAGAAGCTATAAAACGATGATAATCAATCAGATTTTCAAAGTTTATTTGATTTACAATCTGGAGGAAGGCGGTAAGACATGATAAGATTTGAGCTCATGAGTCTGAGTGGGAGATCGTGGAAAAAGGCGATCTAAAGTCTTTCAGGGCCGAGTTTATGTCAAGGCGTGGAGATGCTGTTCACACAATACAGACAGAGCCAAAATTAAACTTTGGTTGTTATCAAAGAGTAAAAAAAAAAGAAATTTTTTAAAAACTTGAAAAAAAAAAGCTACAAAAATTAAAAATAGAGCCTAAAAAGCATGAAAAACACACAAAATTTCACTGTTTTGTTGATGAAAAGAAAAAAAGAATCAGACCAAAAGAAAAAAGAAATGCTTCAAAAATTCAAAATAAAAAATGAAGCTTTAAAAGGATAAAAAAATACACAAAATTTCACTGTTTTGTTGATTTAAAACAAAGAACCAGATCAAAAGAAATTTCTCAAAAACTTTTAACTAATGCTACAAAAATTAAAAAATGAAGCCTAAAAAGGATAAAATTTACACAAAATTTCACTGTTTTGTTTATTTTTTCCTACTTCCCCTCTTATTTCTTATCTTTTTTTGCTGTTGCTGTTTGTGTTTTCTTTCATACATTGTGATTTAAAACACAAACTGTAAAGCATTTTAAAAATGCTTTAGGGTGTGACTTTATTATTCTTCGACAGCGGGCTATTTTGAATTTGAGAGAGAGCGCCATAAGAAAAAGGAGCTGAGACAAACGAGGGGCAGAGTGTGTGTTTGAGGGGGGGCGCTTTGAAAAATATCAGGAGGGAGGCAGTGTTCAGGTAGGGGGCCTTGCTCTGGGGCCTCTTTTTGTCCGGGACAAAAACCAAAATGGTGGAATAGAGCTGGAACAAAAGGGGCATGGGGGGAAACAGCAGAGTGACAACCTGTGCTGAGTAAAAACATCCTGCTGGTCTACACACACACACACACACACACACACACACACACACACACACACACACACACACACACACACACACACACACAAGCTCACTGTCACATGCACACGCATTAATCCCCAATCAGACCCCTTTGAGTGTATGTGCAAGTGCCCACCCACTCTACTTCCTGTTGCAACTTACATCTCATAGAACTCTTGGCATCATTACCCCGGCAACACAGACACACACACACGCACGCGCACAAGCACACACACACATACTGTACATTTACACGCGCACCAGCACAGGGGACCACATCTGTCTTTCTTTAGTTTATTGAACATTACATGATGATAGAATTCAGCCACCCACACTCTTGATAACTTTTGACACCGAAGAGGAACGTATTGTCAGAAAAGGTTTATACCAGGCAAATAAATAAATGAAAAAGCATAAAGTCTGAATGGGAGAGCCGGGCTGGATATTGAGGAAACCTTTGGTAAGGGCAGAAAATGTCAGGTTTGACAAATGACCTTTTAAACATGGAGCAGATGTAGAGAGCCATGTATACTGTGGACAGAGGGCGGCTCAACTGTCTGTCTCTTAACAGCCGGTGAAAAGAGAAGCTTCACTGTTCCTGAACTGTTAAAATGAAACACTAACATTACTTAAAGTTTAAACAAAATAATCTAGAACAAACCGAAGTGCTTCTGAAGCAAAAGTGGATTGTACTCTGGCGGAAAAGATGCTGGAGAAGCAGTTTTTGGAGGCGTAATAATGCCACAGAGGAAGGTGAGATGGTAAAGTGGGCAAAAGGGGTTTGAGCGTAGGGCCGAAAATGAAAAAAAAAAGGGATTAAAATATAAGAAGGAAGTGGTAAATAAAGAATACATGTGACAGAGATGGAGGGGAAGGTAGAACAGGACATGAATTACAGGTGTAGAGATATGCATGCATGACATCACTGGACCCCTCCTCCAGCCCTTGGGAATGGGCACCTTGGAAACGGTCGCTAAGGGAACAGAGTACTGAGAGAGAGAGAGAGAGAGAGAGAGAGGGGTGGTCAAGATGGTTGAAAAAATTCGAGAGGTACAAGAGTGATATCTAATGAGACACTGAATTCATCTGCAGTGAGAACAAAGTCATGTGGTGGAGAAAATTCCCGGACAAAACCGGCGTTTACCATTTCTGGTGTCCCACTTATTCACCTCTGCTCATAAAGGGTGAAAAAGCGAGCTCCATCACAGCTAAAGCCTGCATTGTCCTCCTCCCCCATATATACTGTGACCTCTTATCCACTCCAGTCATTTAGAGAAGGGAGATTTAGTGCGGCCCCGGTGCGGCGTGATGGTAAAAACGGGCACATGATAGAAAGGCAGAGATGGCCTCGGGTCTCCCGTTTTAACACATGGAGAACTATTGATGGAAAAACATGTTGATGGACAAAGAGAGGCTGCTGTAGTGAAATGTTGGCTGTTAATGTATATGGCTGCTTGGAGGTCATTTGGAGCAAGAAGCTAGAAGCTCTGTAAGTGGGTTGAGAAATTGAAGTTAGCACACAACTCGCACTTTGGTCTTTTGAGGCGTCGGAGTAATGAACACACACGCCTGAGCCCAAAGGAAAGAACTGCCATGCTATTCTGACCTCGGCAAACTCTCCCCATCCCTGCAGACAATGCAGTGTCCACACACGGCAGCTGAATGGAAGCACTCTGCCTACCTCTGTCCTCGCTCCTTGATCTGGTAAACAAGTCATCCCTAGCTCCAAACTTTAAACGCCTGATCAACATGACTGCATACAATCACCACATCAAAAAAACCAGCAGCTGCAGAAAAACAAAAGTATATTTTGCATCACCAAAGCTTTTGCAAAGTTTATGCACATAACAAACACCTCAATTCTGCATACACCATATTCCAAAAGCAACAAAATCTACATATCAAAGGCTTGGATTTGGCATGCAATATAGATTTGGTATGTATGCATAATATGTGATCAATATCTGTTGCTGAATAAAACATGCTGCCGGCTTTTGACAGGCGGATTTGAAATGGAGATGCTATGCGAATACAAAAGGCTTTGGTGAGATTGGCCCTGAACCCTCCACATACCAGCAGTTCACATTTAGACACTCTCACCTACACTCTCCATAATGCATGAGCTGCCTGAATATATATCACCCCCTGCACAGCTCACTCATACACACACACATCTACATGCACGACATGCAGGAACACACCAACGTCTGCGCAATGACAGGGGGGCTTATATGCAAGAGATAGCCATGCTCAGCTGCGTGCTGGCACATACGCACTTCTGCAGCTGAACTCAAAAAGCCTCAGACGCAGATCCCATGGTGAGAATTTGATAACATACATGTAGAAACGAAAGAAAATACACAGCAACGACGAGAGAACAGTATATTTTGGGGAAAAGAGAGAAAAACAAAAAATTGTCTTTGACATAGAAGTCGTGTTTGGCATCCTTAAATGTTCTATTTTCTAGTTACTGACCGCTTTTTGCCAGTTGAAAAATGGCAAAACCGCTTTAAACGCTTTGATTGCTATGAAACATGTAGGGCCTGCATCCAGTAAAAGGAGAAAGAAGCTGGAAAAAAAAAACATTTTTCTTCTTTGATCAAGCGGTGTGAGACACACTGGCAGTGCTTAATCAAAGCACTGGTAAGTCATCCTGAACTTCTAGGCTTTTGGCAGCAGGAAACAGGGTCAGGGTCGCTGAACAACTCAGTGTGATGTGAACTTGTCTGGATTTTGTGTTTGTTTATGTGTGTGTGTGCTGGTTGTTTGCGAAAAACCGTGGCAGTGGGGTTTGTCCGCTGCCAATTAACACACAAAAAACACACACATACACTTTTTGAGAGGTGGAGTCGGCTGAAGCGAGGGAAAAGGAATGGGAAGTTTTGAAAGCAAAGACAGTCAAACAGTTGATCCAACAGCAGAGCGGATTATGATTTATATTGGATGACTTTCTTATGATGGCGAATAGTAAATATGCATTTACAGGGCTGTATGTCTGTTTTAGAAGACAACTGGATTTACTTAGTGCCTCTATCTCTCTCTGCTTCTCTGCCCTGCTGGTCTTTAACCTTGGCCTCTGGTGCTTCTGCCTATCGCAATAAAGTCCCCCCTCCTCCTCTTTACCTCTCCTTCCCTACCCTTTTTTTCTCTCTCTCTCTCTCTTTTCTTCCGCCTTCTTTTCCTCCTCCTCCTCCCCTCTGTCTCTCTCTCTGTCCCCCCGGCACCACTGTTGTCCACTGTTCCACTCATTCATAGTAAACACTATTGATTTTCAGCAGGGAAAATAAAAAAAAGAGGCCATGAATTTTAATGCCCCTATCTGTCCCCTTCTCCATCTCTTCCTATCCCCCTTTACCCCTCCCTTCCCTCTCCCTTCACCCCCCTCTACCTCCACCTCCACCCCTACTTTCCTGAGGGGAGGATAAAGAGATGGGGATCGTGTGTGTGTGTGTGTGTGCGCCGTATGTGTGAGTGTAAGGTGGTGGTATACAGGGAAGTAGGGGGGGTTGCATTTCTCATTTCCCAGCTGTGCCTCTCTCACACAACTGCCCCCCCACCTCCACCTCCTCCTCCCCCTGCTTCTCCTCACCCCCCTTACTACACCTCTCTCTCTCTCTCCCCATCCTCTCTTCCTCTGTCCTTCTCCTTGTCCCTCTGTCGCTTGTCCCTACTCTTCACGCCGGCTTCGACTCTGGGGAAGGGAGGCAAACGAAGCGCTCTCACACACACACACACACACACACACACACACACACACACACACACACACACACACACACACACAAAGATTGTCACACACAGATAGAGGCCGCCCCATTCTGCTGTGTGTATACGCACTTAAACAATCACATGCACACACATCACAAGCGATACAACCGCCCCTCGGTCAAGGCCACGCACAGGCAAGACAAACATATACATATAAATGTCCTGATTTACACACACACAGACAAACACACACACACACTCAGTGACACCAGCCTTTCAACACATTATTAGAGTCAAGTATTTAAATTTCTTTTCATCTTCCTCTTCTTTTTTTCTCCATCTTTGCGCCTCTCTCTCTCTTAGCGCCCTTCACCCTCTTCCTCTTTCTTTTATTTTTTGTCTTTTCTTTTCCTCCCTTTGCCAGGCCTCTCTCCCCTCCTCTCTCTCTCTCCTTCTCTCTCCCTCTCCTCTTCCACTCTGTGTATTGATTTTGCTATAAGCGGTGTCCCGTTTGCGACAGGTTAGCGCAGACAGACAAAGGCAGACTTCATCAACCAGCGTTAAACACAGGAGCCACGTCCTCAATAATCACTCCATCACACAAAAGACGACAAGAGAGACACAGAGAAGGAGGGAGAGAGAGGCATGTAGAGAGTATTGAGAACAGCGAAAGGGAAGAAACATCACGGATGAAAAGGTGCTGGAGTATTTTCAAGGCTGTCTTTTTTTTTGTTTGCTTTAATTTGTAGAAACACAAGGACGTATTCACTATCTTGGGTTAAACACTAAGAGCTTCATGCATAAACACTTGAGAAAACTTACTTTATATTCCGCTTTTTTTCTTACATGCACTTTCACACAAACTCATTTTATTCAAACTCTGCTTTTGGCACATGTAGAAGTTCAAGGGAGATTTGTGGTCACTGCATAACTGCTTCCTATTAGCATCTTATAAAATGTTAGGGTCGATCCAGAGGAGGAATTTTCTTCCACTAACCTCATTATAGCAGTGAGTGTACGTGGACTTTGCTTTTTAAAACAGTCTGAATTTATGTGTGTGTATGCATGTGTGTGCATTTATCTGTGTGAGTGTGTGTGTGTGTGTACGCAGACAGTTTTCATCTCCACTTAATCTCCTGCTCCTAATTCAGAGTGTACATTGAGCCGCCTAATAGGATGTGACTGGAGCGCCTGCTGCAGCGCTAGCTAGCTATAGCCGCTAATGAGAGGGCCGCCACAGCCGGAGAATCAAAGCGCTTCATCAGCACTCCTAATTACTGTAAACCTCGTTAGCTGGCTGGAGAGCTAACATCTGCTCTCGCTAACAAAGTACATCCAAATATAACACGGACTTGGCCTGGTGTGCCCAAGTGAGAATCAAAGAGCATGCTGGTACCACACCCACTGATTTCATTGTTCTCCTGTGTGTTGCTGTTGTAATGAAGGCTGAGTGGAGGTTTTTTTTGTCGAGCTGTTCAAGTTGAAATGAAAACAAAGATCTAAGCTGAAGTTCGAGAAGACCCTCATTAAAATCCCAGTTACATATTTCTCTTAAAACCTGTCGGTGACGTCCCACAGCACACTCAGGTCTGAGGGCTCATGTCGCCCATCTCTGCAGCAGCAGGTGTGTGGACAGCAGGTTTCCTTGTAGCTCAGGCTGTTTGCCTGCTCACCCTCTCTCTATCTCTGATCAAAGCACTTCCTTTAACCCCCCCCCCCAACCTTCTGCTGTTCCTCTCTTCCTCCTCCACCTCCCTCTACCTCCCCACCATCATAATTTGACTGATGATTACACTTGTCACTCAAGGCAGCATGTGGCCAATTAGGAAGAGGGGAGATGGGGAGAGAGGAGGGGCGTGCAGGTTGTGGAGAAGAGGGGGTGGGTGGCAGGAAATTTGGGTTACAACTTTTTGTTGCTTGTTCCACTCAGGTAGCCTTTATAGCTTTTAGCAGAGGGAGAAACAAATATTCGTTTCAGTTCAATTTTCCTTAAGAGACTCATGAAGCATCCAAGAGGCGCTCTCTCCCGTCACCTCTTTCCGACGCTGCAGCCTTGTCTCACACTCTCTTGGCCACTTCAGTGACTCTCCATGTTCCAGGGTAATCACAGACTCATTTAAAGTCACTTTTGTACACTACCTCTGACTGGTGGTTAAGAGTGCGGCCGCAGACTATGCTTTTATGGGCCTTAATGTGTCCTACAGACACTTTGGCAACCTGGCTGCTGCTGCCAAAGATGCAGGGGGAGAAAGAGAGGGAGAGAGAGAAAGAGAGAGAGAGAGAGAGAGAGAGAGAGGACAGACACATGAGGCAAACAGCCATGGCGACTTAACCAGGCTGAAAAAAGGGGGAACGAAAGAGGATGAAAGAGGAGGGAGGGAGAGGGACGTGCACGACAAAATGGACAGAACATGAGAGCGTCAAAAGAAAGGGGAGAGAGAGGTCACTTAGTCACTCCTTCAGCGCCCCCAGCTCTGCGCCTCCTCCCTTGTCCCCTTTACAAGCAGACAAAGGGACAGAGGGGTGCAGCTCTTGTACAGAAAAAGGAGGGGTTACGCCTCCTTCTGTCAACCCCAACTCCTCTTTTTACCCCGACTATTGACATCTAAACAGTGAATAATGCTGCATGTATACAAAAACAAAAGTGTACTTGGATTTTAATGTAGACATCAAAAATATCTGTTGGATTATGCTTGTTAATTTATTCTTTTAACTATATGTGACATTTTCTCAACTTTTGCTTTTGAAAATCAGTAAATAAAAAAAGCAACTATGCATTTGCAAAATAAAGGCAAAGGACAGGATGCACAAGGGAATAAGTGAGGGAGTAAAAGTGTTGGAGTACAACAGCTTAATTTTAAAATAGAGTGCTCTTGCTGTGGAAAAGTATGGAGAGCAGGAAGGATGGAGGAAAAAATGCAAAGGAAGAAAAATACAGAAGGGAGATTGGAGATTAGACGAGTGTTCAGGTATCTCAGAGGGCTGAACTGCTTTCGGAGAGCCTCTGTTATGTATGTGACAATATGTGTTTGAGTGTGTGTTAGAGCTCCAGAGGGTGCATTTTCGATGACATTGCTTATAGCCAACATGTTCACTGCCTTCGCCTCCACGCTCCCCGCTCTGCGAGCACTCTCATCCAGCCTCAGTGTGAAGGACAGCAGTGGAACCCCAGAGGTTAATAGGACCCCTTCATTACCATAAATCTTATCAGCTAAATGAAATGGAGAGAGGGACCCCTGATTTAGTCCTCCGCTCATGTGGTGCTAAGGGGAGACACCCAATCAAACCTCTGGATTTTATTGGTCTTTTTTATTATCTAAATGTACTGGCACATGAGTAGGGTGCCAGAGGTGACAGCCTGCGGCAATCAACAATACAAAAAGACAGCGGCTGGAGAAAACACATTGTTGGTGTGTTTATGAGGCTCCAGCCATCGTGGAAAACAGACTGTCCAGACACAGCAAGGAAAAAAATAGTATAAAGGGAAAGTGGGAGTTTAAGTTGTTATCTATTGAATAAATATGGCAATCTGTTGAAAAAAAAAACAAAAACGATAAAATCAGCTAATCAAGTGATGGATATTCTCTGCTGGGGTTCAAAAGCTTGATTTGACTGCCTAGCCTGATGGGGGTGATTGGCGGCATGTTGAGAAGCCCACTCGAGCCCTGATCACAGCTGGTCCACCACTGACCGAGCCTCCACATTCACACAACAGGATGTCCCCCATGTAGGGGTCAAGTGCGCTTGAGTTCTCAGTATGTACGTCTCTTGTATGTTACTGAAAAAGAGGGCGAGAGAGGGGGGAAAACACAGACAAAGGTATAAATCAATACCCAGAATGGAGTTGGGTGTTTTGTATGTGTTTATTCTAGCTGATGTGTTGATTAACTGCATGTGCACACTTACCCACACATGCACACACACACTCTATCCATCTGTGTGTGTTCTCCAGGTGATAGGTCTGATTAAGTGGCCTCCTCACCCGGCCTCTGATTAGCACTAATGCTGGGTTGTATTTCACTGGACAACACAGCAGGCAAGCGAGCACACAAAATTATTCCTCCGTGTGTATGAGTCCTTGTTTTTGCACGCCAATGTAATCAGAAAAATTGTGTACAAACATATTTTAAAATAATAATACACAAAAGATGACCACATTTGCATGATTTTTCCTGCTGTATCCTCGTAAGTGTCTTTGTTGGAGTATGCATATCTTACAGCGTGTGGGTAAAGGTCATTGTTTGGCGAGGATGTGTGTGTGTGTGTTTAGTGGCTGTGTGGTGGAAGTTATTAATACGATAATGGCTGATAATGATGTGCTGTATACGTGGTAGTGCGTCCTGTTCCCCAGGAGAAACTCAATACCACTCTCACTGTTGCTAATGAGCTGCGGGACCTCATCAGCATTAATACTACATTAGTCCCAGTCAACACACACACATTAATGCACACAAACACACACTCATAAGTACACTTTACACTATATATAAATACGAAACACTGGCTTATAAACACATCTGTGAAAATCCACTAAAAAAGGCAAAGACTTAATAGGATTAAAAGAAATTTAAACACACAGTTTAAGCAGGTTTAATCCCTAATTCTATGTGCCAGTGAAAAACAGAATAACAAGAGTCTGTCACCGTACCAGCTTTATAAAATCCTACAATATTTTCAACAACTCTCTTAGAGAAGGTTTTGAAATTCACTTCTGCTGCTTTATATAGCATGAAAGCTTCACATAACCATAAGACGTCTCTGTGTCGGGGGGCATCTATGTTGTCTAATCTACGCAAATAACTGAACCCATTAGCTCCTGAAGCATTCTGCCGTTGGCCTGCTGCATTCAGAGCCCTGTGGCTGCCTCATATACTGCAATCTAATTCTACAGCCACTGGGAGAGGAGAGGAGGGAGAGAGAATTGTATTGTGACAGAGAGCAGGAGGGAGAGGGAGGGAGAAGAAGAGGAGAGAGAGAGAGGAAGAGAGAGGCCTACAGAGAAGGAGAGAGGTAGCTTAATGCAATAAAGCATGTAGTATTGACATCTTTCTCGTGTCTATTGATTCCCCATTATGTTGCTAACAAACCCAGGTTGACATTTTGTCATTTGCAATCATGTTAACACTGCGACTTGCACGCTCCCCTCCACAAACCGATCTATACCCACACACACTAGTTCGCACACGTGCTCATACTTGTGCGCACACGTACACACACAAAAATATATATACTGTTTCTCTTTCTGCAAATGGTTAAACACACGCCTTGTCTCATGTGACTTGTGCCAGCGCCCGACAAACATGAAGAAAATGTCTAGAAAGTAGCTTAGAGGCACAGACATGTAACTGTAACCATTGAGACTGAAGACATTTGATCAAAACAAACAGTTGGAGACATTATCAGAAAAAGTTATGAGGAAAAAAACGCCGATATCTGTTTCATAATCACAGTCTTTCCAAGAATCAGGGCCAGACACAAAGCAAGACTAAAATCAGAGTATGTGTGTAGAGGGAATCATACATGTATTGTAGAAGATGGTGGCTAATGGTGTGTGACAGAAGGTGCATAGCTAGGATGAACTGAATGTGTGTTTGTGTGTGTGTGTGTTTGTGTGTGAGTGTGTAACAGAGAGAAAGGAAAGAAAAAGCAGTCTCCAGTCTCCTTGATGTCCCATCATATCATATCATATCAAACCCTGCGCTGTGTGGGAAACCTGCGGTTTCTCCTCTATGTCCCATTAAACTTTCATATAACAGTTAATGCTGATGGCTTCACAAACCACTTTACTGCACACACAAACACACACACACACATAGTTCACATAGCAGAGGCCCTGACCTGTACCTTCACAGACACAATGCCATTAAAAATAGAACAAACCTGGATCAGTTAGAGCAGCTTTCTACCCAGGTGGAAAACGGTCTAACATGCTTGTTTTATGCCATATGATGGTCTGTGTGTTTCATGATGATGTGTACATATGTGTGTGTGTGTGAGAGAGAGAGAGGGGGAAAAGAGCCCCCACAGGGGTTGTGCATGAGTGCTTGAGGCCTGTTGTAACATGAAAGAGAATGAAAACACAGGGGGCAGAGAGGGGTCAGGTGGGGCTGAGTCAAACACTTCTGATGTGACCTCTGACCCTGTAAGGATCTCAAACTCGAGGGAGTCAAGGATCTGCGGCCAGTCAAAGAGGAAAGTTAACAGAGAGCTTGAGTCAAGAGTCCTACAGTTCCCCACAAAACCTGAGCGTATGTGTGTGTGAACTACCAGTGACGGTTTGAAGAGCACAGATTGGAGCTCATGAACTATACAACAAGTTCGCGCAGACGCAGGTTTGTCGGCCTTGTTTTGTGTTTCTCAGGGAAAAAACTTTCTGTTTCAGTGCCGAGGTCTCCAGATGACCCTGCATCCATTTAGCGACAAACCCTGAGTATGAAAAGGACAGCACCTTGTACAGCGTTATCAACATGGAATAAAATCAGCATAGCGTTGTGAATCACTGTTATCCCCCCGATCTAAGGACTCGAGCAGCCTGTGTACACATCCCATCAGTTTGCCTGCTTATTCAGATGCTGGCCCTGGTCTGGGATGCTGCAACATAATGGCTCATCCTCAGTTTACTCTCACCTCTCAAGCTCAAACTGGGTTTTCCTTCCCCCCCTCGTTTTTCACTCTGTCATCTACTCTTACTTTCACCCACTTCTCTCTCTCTCCTTCCACATTTTTTTTATCTCATTCTGACATTCGCCATTTTTCAACGAAAAACTCCTCCTCCCCCTTCGTCCTCGCTCCAAGCCCTCTCTCCTCTGTGTGCATATCTCCAGAGATATGGTGGGTAACAGGTTCTTCTCATCCTTCTATACTCCCTCTTCTTCCTCCTCTATCACCTTTCCCTTCACTGCCATGTGCCATGCACCAATGACAGAGTATGTGGAGTATAACAATGACGCTTGGCATCTCAGGAATCGAAATGGGCTTGAACTTGGTCTGGAAATGAGAGGAGAGCTGTGCGCTGAAGGGGGTAGAGTACCTGGCCCTTTAAGAGCCCATCCACAGCTAATGTGCACACCAGCCACATTTATGCATCATTATGCCCTGATGCAAGTTGCTGTGTGAATATGCTTTAGTGAAGAACTCTGACAGTGAAATATGACAGAAATAAAGGCCCATTGACCCCATATGGCATTTCCTCCCGTTGCCCCATACTTTGCAGTCCTTCAGTGAGCACACAGAGGACAGAAAAGACATTAAAGCAGACGCATCCTTCCCTCTCCAAAGATGTAGTGGGGGGAAAGGGCTGAGCAGCTGTTGCATGTCTGACAAACAGTTGAAGCTGGACTGAACTGGAGCTCTCGCGTAACGACAGTCAGTGACACACTGAAGCCAGCCTGGCTGCTCCCACCATGCGTCCTTTTATTCCGCTTCAGCGCAGATGAAACGCAGACGGCGCCCCAGCCAGCACCCTCCTCCCCCCCTCCTCTCTGACTCCACACTCCCTTTGCTTCTCTTGCTTTCAACCGTGCAGAAGCGGAGCAGCACTGGGACAGAGAGATATAGTCACTGGAAGGCTTGTTTTTCCTCAGTGGTGTTTACAAAGATGTGAGCCTTGTCCCCCCAACAAGCGTGTAAGTCAGAGCAAAAGCAGCCACCAAAGCAAGTCAGAGATTCTCGACAGGCGTAAAGCCGACTCATTAAGAGATGATACACCAAAAATAAAACCCAGAGACAAAATAAAACAGCAGGAAAGCGGTGTTTCATCCCACTGCTCTCGTACGTTCATACTCCACCGTGCACCTTCTCTCTCCTTCTATCTCCCCCTCTCTCTGCTTCCACCGGCCCAGGAATCGATCTCCGCAGGATCGATAAGTTGGCATGAATATTCCCTGCCTGCCGAGAGTCTAGTTGGGGAGAGACGGAGGCTGAGGCTCAGGCGCAGGCGGTGGTTGAGAGGGGAAGGATGGTGACGGAGAGAGGAGAGAGAAATGCTCGGAGAAAGGGGCATAAGCGCCTTGGAAATGAAGCAGGACACGGCTGGGAGAGAGTGGCGCATCGTGCCACAGAATGGACACCAAAAAAAGGGACGTTTTACGCATTCATTTTCTGTTAGTGTGGACGCTTCGGCGCGCTTAAGAAGGCGACTTTGATGTGAAAAACCTGCCCGCACGTGTAAAGGACTCTGCTACAGCCTCTCCAACCGAGCCGGAGGAGTGTGTGTGTGCGTGTGTGTATGCGTGTGTAAGTGGGTGTGTGCGCCGACCAGCTCTCCTCCGCTGCAAGTGCATCGGCACCGAGCTAGGCGGGGCGGGTCTGCATGGCTGACCGACATGGAGGATGTATAGCAGGAAAGAAGAGGAGAGAAAAATGTCTTACCGGAGTTGGAGCGGAGAGCCAGAGGGGACTTGAGACGCCAGGCGTTGAGGTCAGGGGCAGTTCTCTGAAACACGAACGGCACCGGCAAGGGAACAAACATGATCTTCCTCCGGCTTCTTGTTTTGGTGCAAATAATCTGACAGAAGTCGAACTGTAATAAGCTCTGTCCTCTTCTCAAGCTTCACTTTCTTCGTCCGTTTCTCTGGTAGACAGCTTTTGGGGAATATTTGGTATGGAGAGCTCAAAACATTCGCCGTTAGGTGTGTACACATGTAGCCCAGCTGCGCACTTCTATTTACATCTGTGGACTGTTAGCCGGCATTAGTTTTGGTGTAAATGTGCATAGAACATATATGTTAGGATATGGTCCCTTGAGTGCAGCAGTTATTACATTACAGTCCAGACTAAACACACAGACGGACAGACAGGAGATCACTTTCTACAGGCTACAGGAAAAGTTCTGTTACAATTACAGGCCTATTGTAGTACTTGGAGAGGAAAGTCTGTGTGTCACCTGCACCTGTGCCTCTGTCACCTCTGCTCTGTTAAAGTGTTCTCCTTGAGTAAACAAAGAGGCCCGGGAGCTTATTGAATCTTCTCACTCCTTTACCGACAATGTTTCCTTATAGTTGTGAAAAAGGCATGAGAACAGTCGCTAGCCTACACTCCTTAGCATCACCGGCCGCGGGTTTAGCTTTGGTATATTCGCTTTTGCAATTTTTTTTCAAAGAGTAAAATGATGAGAATATCTGAAAACAGACGAGAGTTAAAAAAAGAAACCAAGCGGAGTTATAAAGTCTTATTTAGCTTTCCTCTATAATGGTTATTTGGTTTGATCTATTGTATTTGGTCTCTAGCTGCACGCGCTCCTTCTCTCCTCCTTTTGCATGAAGGCTACATATAAGACATTCATACGCTCGCGCACAGGCAGCAGGTCGCGTCACGAGCACATAGGAAAACGGCTTCATTAAAGGTTTTTTCATCAACAGGGAAAATAAACAAGAAACACAGAGAGAGATAGAGAGAGAAAGAGAGAGAGAGAGAGAAACACAACGTGCGCGCTTGGCCCTGACGCTCCTCCTCCCTCGCTCTCTTGTCACAAGGCAGTAATTAAAACGCAATCAATCGATAAATAAATAAATAAATAAATACAGCGATTAAATAAATAATTTTTAAAAAAGCGTAAATAAAGAAAGCGTATAGAGGAATCCGTTTCAGGTCTCCCGTGTTATCGGAACACTTGCCTATCTCCGTCCATCCGTCTGTGTGTCTTTTTTGTCTGTCTGTGTGTCCCCGGTTATATTTGGGAACCCCAATAGCTCATTCGACCCGGCTCCCTCCAGGATTGTAGCGATCTGCCACTAGGCTGGCCGCAACATTGAGGCGAGAGAGGACCCGCTACTACTCACACATCACCACCCCACCCCCGCACCTCCCTCCCTCCCTCCTCTCCCTCTCCCTCTCTCCCTCTCCATCCACTCCCTCCCACCACCACCCCTCTCTCCATCCCTCCTCCCACTCCCCCCCATCTCCCTCGTTTTCACTACCGCTGCAAAAGGTATCCTGTATTGATTTCTGGATTTTTTCACCCCTCTCTTAATAATGCCGACTATAATGATGCCAATGGTGATCAGTGCATTACTACCGGCTTGCTTAAGAAGGGATGAAGACCAGACAAGAGGATCCATGGATACCTATAGGTGCTTAACACTTAATACCGAGCAGAAGAGCCAGCATGCACACAATTAAGTTATCTCATCACTGCTGCTCTTCATAAGCCCTTTGGAGGCATCATTAGGTTATTCATGCAGAGGAGAAGGTCGACCACTGTTTGGAGATGAAAAGCTGGTTTTGGCCTTAAAAGTGCATTTTGGTTAAGTGTTTCCAAAATGTGAAAAATAAATGACACAAGAGTCCAGTAGGAGTCAATGCATGCTCCCCTCCAGGTAAAAGGGGATCTCCAGCTGCCTATCTTCTCCAGCTCCTCCATCCCGGCCTCTCCTCTCCTCTCCTCTCTTCTCCTTGCACCCTTCCCCTTTCCCTCCCCGGCTCCAACATGTTACACGCTGTCAATTACAGGCCAGCATCAGTCAACGCCGCGCGCTTACACACCAGATTATTGTCGATATAGATTTTTAAATAGAAAAATCTATACCTTAAACATCGCAGTCAATACGGGCAAATCAATAGGAATGAGCGAGCTCTCTGCTCCTGCAGGGCCCTGAAAGCACCATCCCGCAGGACTGTTTATATCTGCTCACTTAATGCTGCAGCTCATTAGGCCTGTTTGAATGGAAATTGCTCATAAAATAAACGATTTTGCTTTCATCACCAGACTTGTGATTTTCTCAGTCATCAGCACACTGCAGCCATTTTCTCAATAAATACGTGCCGGACCCTAAACTGGCATATTCTTAATTATGAAAAATGTGTCATCCTCTGGAGTGGACATCCAGGTTTTATTGTCCTTCTCCCTTCGCTTCACGTATGACAGATGACATCCGCAGGTCCAATGAGGGAGAGGAGGGGAAGGGAGCGAGAGAAGAAGGAGAAAGGGATGAAGAGTGGGGGGAAAGAGGGGAAGAGCAGAGGGGAAGTGGGGTTTGGATGTAAATGAGAAAGAGGAGAGAAAGAGAGGTGAGGTGAAAAGAGGAGGAAAGAGGAGAAAGAAGGAGAGAAGAGGAGAAGTGACTAGTTGTCCTTCAAAGACCCCCTTTTCTCCACAGAGGGAGCCATGCGCGCCCCCTTTCCCTCCTCCCTACACTCCTTCCAGACAAAAGCAATTATTTCTTGTAGAATGTAGTGTGGTTGTGCGCGTCTGTGGAAGAGAGGAATGGAGGGAGGGTGTGTGAGATTGAAGGAGGGGAAAATAAGATGGTGTTGGAGGGGTAGAGGGTAGGAGGATGGGGAGGTAAGGAGGAGGAGGGATGGTAACACCTTTACAGCATCCACCCCTCTTCGTCCTCCACGCACTCTTCTGACCAAACTCTTCTTTTCTCTCCATCTGACACGAGCGCAAAGACAACAGAAAACCATCAACTGGGTATTCACACGTGTAAAAACACATGGAAACACCTGCACATGAATTTCAAATGGAAGCTTTTAGACCAAACAACTTTAAAGGTAGAGAAAAAAACTCCTTCTCTTCCTTTAACTGTAAAAAAAAAAAACCCTCACAGAATACAATGACTATGAAGCCTGGAGATAACACCCATCTCGCCTATCTTCAATTCTGTCCATCTGTCTGTCTGTTGTCCAGCACCGACCACCTAAATTCAGCTAATCGCCCCCCTCAGTGTGTTTTCTGCTTGGTGCCTATAGGGCCCCTGCAGCGAGGCAGTCTCTACAGTTTCTCTCTCTGGGGCCTATGGGTCCCTTTCTGGTCCCCGGGGATTGAGAGAGCTCCCCCGGGGGGCCCGCTCAAGCCAATAACCCCTGCTGGACTGCTCTCATCAGGGGCCCACACGGTCCTGATTGTCCACCTCCCTCCCTATCAAACCTCCTCATCAACACAGTGAAACAGAGCGGGCTCCATTGTTTTGAGGGCTGTGTCTTCTCTCTACTGTATGAAAAATACTCCTCTGAAGTTCTCTTTCTGTTCCTGCATTTTTAAAGACGGAGAAACACAGTTATGGGTGTAATATTTCATACTGGATGCTGGTTTGTGAAGTCAGTCAGTGATTAAAGACGATATTTGTAAGTTGGCTGAAAATGAATGTTGTTTTTTTCATCAAAGAAAATTTAAAAATGATTTTTAAGAAAGTGTTCTGTCCAGTTTTCTTCCTAAACAAGGAGGCAATATTTTTCACTGAACCGGAAAATAAATTCTGACTTAAGCTTGTGAAATACCTTAAATTCTAGCTTACTTAACATTCACACCCTCCTTTATACTGACAACTTTAAAACAAAAAAGATAATGTGCACTGATGCAGTTATGTCACTTTTTTCCCACAACTTTTTCAATCTTTTAAAAAAAATCTGCAAGCTACGGCTGAAAGAAAACAACACTTTGTATAGATTTGTTGTCTATTGTGCTGATATTTTAAATAATCTGGTGTTTTCTTAAAATTCTTCCTCCTAATGTAAACATGACTCATAAAATAAGAGTTATTAAAATATGTAAACCTGTCTGTCTATTTTATTTCGGCAAGTGTTCAATTATCAATAGATTTTTAATCATAATTAATTTATTTACATTTAAGTTTTTCTGAAATAATCAAAGGCAGCTGAACTATATTTCCAAAAAGAAGGGACAGTAATCATGTAAGGCGTTTATAAAATTCTTCCAAACTTTGTGTCTTTTTTTCCTGCATAAACTGCTCCTTAAGACACATTTTGTCTCCTATAATAGTTACAAACAAATTTATTCATTGCAAACAATTTGTTCAATCCTTAACATAACGTGTTTACCATGTCATGTGCTGTAGGTCAGAATGTGGCATGAAATATTTAACCAATCAGAAAGAGCCAGGAGTAACCTGAGGCTATACATTAGTCATATCATGGGCCATGCATTAGTCATATAGTTTATTGCACTCTTGGTAATTGCCTGTTATTCAGTTTGAATGATTGATTTGACTGGTTGCGAACACAGTGTTTGAATATTGAATAATATTATTTTTGTTGTAAATGATGCAGGAAAGGAAAAGGCAACAGCAGGTTGTCACTGAGAAATAAATCTTTGGCCTCCAAGAAAAGCTGCTTTTCAGATTGTGTGTGTGTGCGTGAGTGTGTGTGTGTGTGTGCGCACATTTTTGTTGTTGCAATCATCCCTCCTGCACCTTCCTCTATGTGCGTGTTTTAATGCGTGTTTGACCCCGCTCATCCTCGAGGTGTTCGCACCCATGTCGTGGTCGTAGTTAAATGGTGATGTCATGTTGACAAACGAGCTGGTTGAATTAAATTCTCACTCATCAATAACGGCGTCGGTCGGGAATCAATAGCAGCCAACAGTGGCGTTACTGCTTCTGTCAGCGGCCTAACAAGGACCTATTAGAATGGACAACGCTCTCTCTCACTGTCGCCCTGTCCCAATCTCAGCCCCAGTAACGCACTCTTCTCATATCCTCCCTGCGCACACACACACCAACAACACACAGC